TCCTTCATTTTGCGCCTGTTTTGTGCCCAAATGATTGACAGCACTGCCACTCCTGGTTGCTATTCTCACGTCTGATGAGTCTCGACCAATCCTGCGCAGTTCTCGCCCTCTTGTGAGGTTTCGTTTTATTCTATCACAAAACGTGCAAAAAGTTACCCCGTAGAAGTATTTCAGTCTTTTGCTGTTAAGGTTGCAGTGCTTTGTTTACTATTGGGGGCACGGGCCCCTCGCAACTTACATTTCCAGTGCTATCATTTGAACAATTGAATCCATAATGCAATCGGTTCATTAGCGACCACCAACTCACAAAGGTATCTCATCCGGTGCTCTGTGCAAGCGGCAAAGGCTGCTGGGAATGAGTACAAGTTGCTCTGTGAATTTTGCCTATCTTGCAGTGGGAAAAAAGAAAAAGTGCACATCTGCACGTGTCTCTCCTTTTTCCAGGTGAAAGTGAATGGCATCGAATATCAGCCGAAAGAGTACAGTGCCAACAAGAAACACGCCAAAGCGCGGGCAGCCATGCTCTGCCTACAGGAGAAAGGCCTCATTGGTCGCATGAACTTTCAGAGTCCCTCTGTTCAACTGTCGATGATGATGCCGCAGCAGGACATAGATCTCATGTATTAGTGCCTCGTCACGACTTCATGATGCACGTGGGCTTTATGATTTTGCTGAATGTGGTTGGCGCAGCTGTTGAAAGTGCGAGCTTTAAGATTGGTGGCTGGCATTGAAATGTTTGCTGAATTAAAATTACTATCTGTGCAGACAAACTAGTCTGCAATTTCACATCACATTGTGCAAGTCATAGCAATGTTAGCTCGTGGAGCTATTCCGGACAGTGCGAAATTCGCCATGTTGATGTGGCCGATGAACGGTGAGATTACAGTTAGGCAAACTGTTAGGCAACGACGGCTGCATTTTAGATGATGGAGGCGAAAATGCTGTAGGCCTGTGCACTCAGATTTGGGTGCATGTCAAAGAACCTCAGGCGGTTCAAATTTCTGGAGTCCTCCACTATGACGTCTCTCATAATCATATGGTGGTTTTGGAACGGTAAACCCTGTTAGGCAAACTTATTTGACATAGTGACTGTACCATTTTGTAATGTCACTTTTATCTTTCTTTCCTTCTCTGCATGCCACTATCACTGGCCCCCCATCGTCTTGTTGGCAGCACTTTAGCACCACAAACATGCCTTGTTTATTTTAGATTTGATGATCTTGCACTGAAATGTTGTTCAATGTACTAAATGTCTAGTCAACTCGCATGTTCTGTTTTAATCATAACTGTCCTCTTTGGCTGGGCCAGAGGGAACACATCCTGACTTGGGAGCACTGAAAATCATTATCACACGCATTTACTGTACCTGTTTGTGCTCCTGTGTTGAAGTAAGTAATCGTTGTAGAAAAAATTAAAGTGCCATAAATGAGGAGTGAAACTTGAGAAATCAACTGTGATAACTTAAATATTTGTTTTGTTGTCCTTGCTGTGTGTGGGTGTCAAGATGTCTTTGCTCTGTTTTTTAAGTCGTCATATGATTGATTCAGTCATCACACGACCAATGATCGTCACCTGACAGTTCCCTTTTTATGTTAATTATGTGAATAGATATAGCTGTCTTGACTGTCATTTTTACTATGTATAAACCTTGGCGAGTCCATAATTAGTAGTAATAGATAGTTTGAGATTTGGGGCCCCAAGGAGCTTTGGGACCCAAGAAGTTTGCGACCCGCCAGGGTGCATGCCCAGAACCCAAGCCAAAAAGCCAGGGCGCATGTGCGAATCCAAGGCCATAAAATCGAAAACTATCGGGAGCCCCCAAGGAGTCTTGAGTTGCCAGCGAAACAAAGCAGATGCAGCGCAAGCCACGGTGCCGTGTGACCCGCGTATCGCATAATTCTATTTTGGCCACATGTGGCGCACTGTGCGTTCGGTGTAACGCAGCCTGTGTTCGACCCTATTTTCAAACTATGCTGATCCTCTGAACGCAAAAGCAGTATAGCCAATGCAGTTTGAGGGCCAAGTGTCTTCTGTTCTCATTTCTCAAACTCTATAATATTGCAGAAGTGTATTACAGATAGGAAGAGGTTTATTTGTCCTTGCCTAACCTATAACGCACCTTTTCAAGTTCACTGCAGTTTTCAAGCTAAGTAATGTAGACTCACGTGCACAGTCTTCAATGAATGCTTGGTTATGTGTTAACCTGCCAAAATTTTTACGTGAATATTTGTCCACGCCTGATGTAATGGACCATAAATATCGCGACGATGTCAATTGAGCAACAAGTAAATGTTTTAAAGGCCCACTCATTACTTAGCTCTCAGACGTATTCAGTCATCAGCAGCAGCAGAATCATCGACAAAGTGGACAGCTGCGTAAGTTTGCGTGTTGTCGTACGAACACGTAGGGGCCCTTCGCTGATACGCAAAAGGAATGATAGTGGTGTCGTGGGCACTTAACTGTGCTTGCAATAGACATTCAATGGTACCTTGAAATAACCAATGTTATGCGCACAGCCATTAGTTTTCTTACGGCAGGGTTGAGGCATGCACCATGAACAGAAGCAGCTTAGCAGTTCAGAAGGCGATACGCACGAGGTTTGATCATGCTGTCGCGACCAGCTAAGTAAAATAACGCTGGCACTCTCCTCATTGGTCTCGCTGTCGATATAGGCAGAGACAAAGTGAGGAGAATGGTTTGTTGTCCCTAAAAGTGTTCGTGTATCCGTTGCAATGGGCGTGGGCTTGGTAAAAGTATTTATGATCAGAATTCTAGACATACGGATGCCACTAGCAACATTCGCTATTATCCCGTTTTGGTATGGCTTCTCATTTGTAGCCTGAGCATAATTTCTGGTGTCTTGTGAATAACTGTGATTATCTTGCCAAGACAAAGGTGTTAAAGCCATTCTTCAGCCAGCGTCTCTCCGGAAACACGGCATATAGTTGTGTAATTTAGATATAGGCCTCGTCCAGTGTACATATCAACACATTTTTGCTTCATTGCTTTGTGTACCGCTAGTTTTCTCACAACCCAAAATCTCAGTTTTAGAATTACCCTAGTGTAGAACAACTCTGATTTTTCCAGTTAAGCAAAATTGAACTTTTTTGCACATTAAGTTGTTTGTAAAATGTGAAGCTTGCAATGCATGTCTTAATGTCACATTCTGAATAGGGAGCCATATTGCGTCAAATATTTTCAAAAAGCAGAGGGCTACTCCTGCTGCCTTTGAAGTTGTGTAGCTGTGCGTCACTGCCATGTGCATCGATGACACTGTCAGTGCAGTGCTGCTTTGTTACATTGAAGTTGATATCCCGGCATCACAAACTTGGCGCTTGTTTGCTAGCAACTAGGCTTTTTTTGGCAAACATTGCCAACAAGAAGATGCTTGTGCCTGTGGCCATAGTTTGAAACTTTACATTAAAAAAACTATCTTTAATACTTATGTCTTGAGATTTGTGTGGTTGAGATTGTCACTCTCAGAAATTGTGTAATGCCCGTACCATTATGTGCACACACATGTGAGAATGAAGCGATATAGACAGTATGAAAATCATACGTGTGCTGAAAACAACACAGTTCTCTGATAAGCTGGAAGTTTACATGTGCAAAGAATAATCCATGAATACAAACACATCATGCGAGACTGATATTTTTTCAACTTTCTAATGACTGCTGGACCTCAACTAAAGCTAGGAGGCAAAATATGCCAGCCTACTAATAGATAACGGCTGTAATGGCTATTTGGATGTTACAGCGAAAGCTGTTATGAGATCAGAACACCGGTCACGCGTGGCGCCGTAGTTGTCTGCCGCCGCCCGTGTCCGTAACCAGTATTGAAAAAAAAAAAACTAAATAAAAAACACCAATGACACAATGGGATTCGCTGCGTGTTAGCCCAGTATTCTAACACTAAGCCATGTCAGTGCTTGGGACTTGTTTCTAAACTGACCTTGCGCAGATCTGATGTCAAGAAAGGAATCTAGTTAAGTAATAAAACATTTTGGAGCATCAAAGGAACAGCCAGGCATAACACAATGCAAATGGCATAACGAGTGGCTCATGCAATGCTCCAACCAACTAGAAAACTTGTTCATCACCTAATAACTGTGGCGCACGCACTTCAGGCATAATTCAATGTCATCGGCCACTGTATAAAAAAAAAAATTGTGTCGCGGATACCGCTTCTCGAAAAAGTAGCGAAGGATAATATAATGAATGTTGGTCTACAACACAAAAATTATGATTATAGCGTAGTGGGTACCCAGCAGTGTGCTTGTAGCAGTTACCCAACGAGTTTAGAAAAGGCTCTGAAAAGCCACTTTTCTAGCTTTCGCTGTGAGTGTGCCGTGCAGGTCTGGCATTTTTTTGCATTTGCCTGGGATGTGTTAGATGCAATATACACGACAGTTTCATTAATTGTATTAACATATGTAATACAGAGTGGTATGAAAGTAAAATAACGACCCAGTGTCACACAATGCAAATTGTGCAACGAGTGGGTCAAATGTTTCTAACCCTATACAAAGGACTCGGCCAGAATTCATGATCAGCCACAGTGCAAAGTAATATGCAATGCTTCACAGATGTGTAGTGGGTGCTGCGCTTCTCAGGGCAATGACTAATAACGGCTTAGTAGGTACTTCCCTACTTGACAAAAATTACGATTTACGGCCTAGTGGGTACCTGTGATGTGCACCTGTATTAGTTGCCCCAAGGTGGTCTATAATGAACTCTCCGAAGGCCCCTCTTCCAGCTTTCACTGTGACTGTGTCGAGTGTTACATACAGGCCTGGTGGTTTTTTCATAGCAGAGCCGTACTGAATGCTAGATAAGCGTACAGTTATGGCCAGTATGTTAGCATACTGGCACACTAAACAGTATGCTGTGCTACTGGGCATATCCTGCAACTTAAAAGCCCACACACCTACTGCCTATAGATGCAAAGTCAACAAATTGCTCAGTGCACGTAGTAAATTGATATAAAGCGATGCATTCAGTCATTCAAAACACAACACATATTAACCTTTTATTTGCTCAATAAAAGCAGAGGTTGCACTCGAAGTTTCTAGGAAAGGACTCCATTGTACACCTTGGGATCCCCATAAAAATACGAGAGTACTGCACCTCGTTATTCCAGTCCAGTTAAAAAATGGTGCGAAAAATATTACATAAACGAAAATATATGTAAAAAATAGGTGTGCCAAAACATTAAAAAAAAAAAAAAGGAACCAGTACCATACACTTAGCATGCCCCCACATTACATCACCCAATAGTGTTAATAGATGAAAGATAAAACATCACAATAAAATATCTAAAACAAGCATGATGTATGAAAAATGAACTCTCAATGATAAAAAATTGTGGGTTAATGCCACTAACAACTGTTTTAAGTGTGCTAAATCAAATTAGTGATAATTGCAAGACCAACTTTGGAGCAGTTTGTCCTAACAATACTACTGACATTTCCCCTTTGCTCACGACGTCTTGTAAACTGGTATTATATGTTTTGTGAGGCATATGCTTCTTTGGTATAAAACGAGGGGGCACTCAGGCGTGCTCAGTAGGTGATAACACTCTAAAAGAACAGCTATCGCAGTAAGACGAACCACATTCTAATAGCACGTTGACTAGTACTGACCGCTCCGCCATTGGCACAGTTAATCCATAAATCTCTCCTTCAACTAACGTTCACAACTACATGGACAGCTGTCGGCTTTGCATTTGGTTCACAAAGTATGTATATAAAGCCCCATTTTACGGCCTCTGTTTAATCATTTGCATGCTCTATACAGATCAGCATTGAATTTTGCGGAACACCATAACGTAAACAGTATCGTTCTAACCCGCCAGCCACGTGGTAACAACTGCTAGATAAAGGTGCACGATTTTTCAACAAGGGCTACATGACTAGATGACTTCTTTGGGCTGCACCTGAAAAAGATCAAAATGAATGTTTTCAGTCAATGCAGCAGGAAGAAAAAAAATATGCCGAACACAGATTAAAAAAAAAAATTAAGGAGTTTATGGACATGATCTTGAAGTTGTAACTGCTCTACTACATGTCTTTTGCACATGGAGGCCTCACTTTAGTGAATTTGGTACTGAAGTTAGAACCTGGCATCAGTGCTGTGTGGTAATATGAACTAGATACGACGATAAGACTGTTTTTTTTCTCTTTCATTTTGTTCAAGTTTACAAGGGTGCTGAGTATGTTTTTTCTGGTGTATGCATGTTTTTTCTGGTGTATGCATGTTGGCTGCATGAGAATTTGATTGCTTGAATCCTCACATGAGGGGAAAAAGGAAGTGTAAAATGTATCATACGGGTAGTAGGTACTCCACGCCAGCATGCAAGAGAATCCCCAGTATGGTGCAAAGCGAGCTGTTCAACAGAAATTGAAAAAAAAAAAAAAAAATTGGAACTACAGCTTTCTATTTTTTCCCCTGTACTTTTACAATCAGTGGTCGACTGTTGTAAACATTTGTAAACAAATTATTATTTTAAGCATTGGTGTTACCAATTTCTCTCGTGTTGGTGTCATTCTTGACAAAGGTGATTTGTTCTCAGTACAGGTGATTGAAAACCCTTGGAGTAAACGATTTATCGCTTCTTAGCTCAAATCAGGAATGCCTTTAGTGTGCCTTACATAGACGCTGCAGGATGTCTTGTGCAAAAGTCTTACTGTGGCATCAGTCTTCATGCTCATTGTCAGATGAGCATACCTCCTCTCTCGCCACGGGCGCGGTGGCTGAAAAAGGCCACAATAAAGTATTGGTCAGCTAAAACCCTCTGCCCTGTTTGTATATTTTGCAGCGATATGTGCGTAGTTTACATGCTACTAGTCAGTTTTTCAGTCAGCATTTGTTTCGTGGCATCAGAATGCTAGATGTAGAAACTCGCCACATAGAAATGATTATGTAGTTCTGAAAGTTTCTCTCGAGCTCTAGAAAACTAGTTGCAGTGTATGGTTGAAAAAAAAAAATTTTGTATGATAAAACGGCCAGGTTATTCTTTAGATATACGTTTATAAATTCACTAATCTTGTCAAGGGTGACACTTTGAGAATTGTTGTAGTGAATTTGTACTTTTCATATAAAAAAATAAGTTGCATTTATGCAGAGAAAATGTACTACTTTCCTGATTCCTTATGCTTCACTGTGAAACTATGAATGATAACTACATTTTATTTTACTGAGTTTGCACATTAGAAAAAGAGAATAAGTAGAACTGAACTGAAAAGCAATGCTACTTCTCGAATACATGAATTTCTATAGTTTCTATTTTTCTGTCGTAAATGTAATAATGCAAACATACATTTCTAACTTCAAAGCTATTGAAACACGCATGACATTAGCCTTGCAGCAGATCGTGGTCTTCTTACAAAGTGGAATCATTTCGATAAACCTGTCGTAGAGCTTCTGATGTGACGCTGAGACTCGATGTGTGTGTTGACAACAGATGCAGTGGGCCGATAAAAAATGCGTACTCACGCCAGAACCTGTGGTTGATTTTCTCTCCAACAATGTACACGCCAAATATGGCGGCTGAGCAACAGCCAATGAAGATTGGCAGCAGGGCTGGTGACATGAACTCGAGGACAGGGTACACCCACATCTCATGCACCATTCCGAGATAGACGATCCTGTAACGAGTTATCACGCATCCCGAAACATCATGCTGCGCCATCCTTTAGTTGCGCTCACGATTTTAAGCAGTTGAAGTTTGCACATGATAACAAAAACATATAATGTGCTTCCTAAAATACCTATTAAATGAGCACAAATATTCCTTGCTCTGTAGATGAGCTATTCTACTGTGCATTATTTTGAACGCCACAAATGCTGTAAGGCTGTCACCAACTTAAAGCTTCTAAACTGTCATACAAAGTTCATTGTAACCTTTTTACGAGGCCGTTCTCGGACTCCTTTATCTTAACATCTATGCATGGCCACTCCAAGAAGAAGGAGTTGAGGGAAGGAACTGAACCCTTCAGGTTTCAAATAGCAATGCAGTGTGCCCATTCTATGTATGCTGTTTTTGAAACATTTTGGAAGTAAGCACATATTTGCTGTAGCTATGACCTGGGAGTGCAGTGCTTGAAGTGTTAAGTTTACAGAGCCGAAGATGGCTAATGGAGAGAATCACAGATGTGAATGTATTTCCTCAGACAGTTGCTATGCTAAGCTACTCAAAACCAATCAACGGGATAAAATTCCTGGTGAAAGTGGTCCGAGAACTGAAAGAAATGAAATAAACAGGCGAAACCCGCATTTTCTATCAATGGATCAGCTATCGGAAGTGCCATGCTTGCATAACAAGAGTTCTGTAATGTGCAGTAAAATCGCAGCACGCGAGCGAATGCCTTTGAATCTCCATATAAATGTGCGTGCTATGGCCAGAAAGAAGCTTCAATCTTTCAAGTTGAGCGTGACAGAACCATTGTGGTTGCTGTAAAGCTCCTGCGTGTTTAACACTACACGAGTAGTCTCACTGTCTTTTTTTTAGCATGGTATCCACAGTCTTTTTAAAGATACCTTACGCTCGTTTCCAATTTTGGGCACACTCTTGTGTGCACAGGTGCTTGGGCCAAATCAAGCAAAGCAGAAACTTAAATAAAACTGCACTAAAGCCACAATGTGATTAATGTTCCTTTTTCTTTTGGAACAAAACGATGCAGTATTGTATTTTAGCCCTACTTTAGGACAAGAATGTCTTTGCAGATAAATAGGGGGTGAATGAGGACAACAAATAATATCCGTAATAGACTGTGCGAACCTTAGCCCACTACATTAACACTATGTACAACACTATATAACATAATGCACAACACTATGCACAGCCGTCAGCACCTTTAACATAAACACTTTGATGGGTGGCCACGGCTAGTTTGATTGATGCCAGCTGCGAAGTGCTGGGCACTTTTGCAGAGATGATGCCTCGGTGGGCTTGGACGGTATGTCGTCATGTATGGCTAGCATCTTCGCAATAGAACCCAAATGTAGTGGTGTCAGTGTCAAGCAAACTGCTGTAGGACACGTGGCGGAGCATTCGTGTTAAAGGTGCTGACAGCTGTACTAACATGCACAACACATTAACTCTATCTAACATGCACAAACTGGCAGAGGTAATTTAAATCTCAGCCTACGTCAAGGACAAACACAAGATGTACAGTTATGTAAGTACAAAGGAGCAATATTCCAATTCAGAGTAACAAGGCCTAGAGTTAACAAGTTGCACAACCTGTCACAGTCTCGACACTTTGGCACAAGGCTACCTTTCCCGATGGGAGTGTCCAAGAGAAAGCTGGCATATGAAGAAATTTTTGACAGAAAAGGCTGCAATGGGAAAAGTGACCATACGGTGATGTGATCAGTGTCGTTGGCATTATTCACTGCTGCACTCTTGCCCATTTTGACTAAGAACAATGGGGGCACGGTGTGTGAACCTTTCAAATACAAAATGAAGGAGGCCAATGGTTGAGGCGATCACTGCGCAAGCAAAGTACACACCGCAAGCTGTGATAGTGAGTGCAGAGTTGTCTAACACCCCCTCCTTTGCATGGAGCATCCCGAGTGGTGAAAATGCCTCTTCTGCTCACAACCAAGTGCTTTGTCGGACGTCGGCATGTGCGTCGTCACGCGACTTCACTCAGCTGTCTACGACGACTGCAAGGTGAGACACACGGCTGTGTACAGTCAGACACTGCACTCTCTGTGTAATGCCTGATGCAAGAGCTCAAGGCTGTCTCGACCTCAGTCGTGGCTTCCAGCGTATACAAAATAACCTGACCACAACTTAGATATTACGAAAAGCCTTCTAACCAATTTGCTGTGCCAGCACAGTGTTTATAAAAGACAATGTACATTCATACTGATTGTCATGCTGTCTTTATAAGCCCAATGTTTGTGGAAAAGTTTGTTTTGTGGTGTGTGATGCATTTGGAAAAATTAATGGCGATAAATGCTTCTAGTAGCCATATAAAAAAAAGGGGGGGCACATTGTTTGCCAAGTGCTAATAAAAATATCTTTGCTGTGTGCATGATAACTTTCAATACGACAAGCCTGAGCATTTCTTTGTTTTAACTTTGATGCAGATTGTAAGATAGCCACATAGGAGCAAGTGTTTCCAGGTAGTTAAATGTGATTACATCGCATTTACCTAACTTATCCATAAGATTATGTAGCAGAATGATAATTTTACAATTGGGAGATCGTCTGTCTAAGATGTCTTATGTAGAGACACCGTAGCAGGTGGAAGCCATTACAGCAGTGCGATAATTAAACTAACTATAATCACTTGAAGGTGATTGAGTCTATAGTAATGGAGGCCATTTGGTTATGTTACAGGCTCTAGAAGTGGGCACAGCCAAGATTGACAAAGGTGCAGCCCTCCTGAAAGCCGAAGATAAGCTACCAGAACCAGATGGTCAAGCAAGTGGTGGCAGTAAAGACAAGGATCAAGCCCTCGATCTCCACACAGAGGATGAATCGCCACCACTTGGAGAGCCAATCGCACCACTTGGAGAGCCTGATGGTCTACTTGACGACTCCAAACAAGCGAAGACAGAGGAGGTAAAACGTGAAAATGTAGATGAATCCCAACACGACGCGCAATGTGACACATTCAGTGATGATGCTAACCCAACCTTCCTGATTGAGGAAGTTCCATTGGAAAGCATTCCCCTTCCAGAAGGGCCGTACGTTCCACCTGAAACACAGCAGTCCCAGTTGCCTGGAGAAACAAGCGCTTCAGTCCAAGACACCAACCCGCAAAGCCAGAAAGTAAGGAAGGCGAGTAAGTGGGATAATGCATCGGAACAAACACTTTCCAAAATAGCTGTATTGGATGACATCAAGGAGTCCATTCCAGAATCGTCCACAATGGCTATAGCGAAACCTCAAATTGACATCGAGCTAAAACCAGAAAAGCGAGACAGTCGAAAGCCTACTGCAAAGATAAAGAACCAGGAGGTGACACCAAGTAAACAACAACCTTCTACCGAGGCTAAAAAACTGCCAAAATCTGAGCCGTCTTCAAAAGGCGTTTTTCCTGCGTGTAGAAAATCAGAGTTAGATATCCAGCAAAAGACGACCAGAATCGGTGAATCAAAGAACAAAGAAAGGACTCCCATAACTCGTAAAGTAGAGCAGCATCCTTTGCCGGAAGTGTTGCGCGAAGTAGACAAGGTTGTCGAATCCAAGCAGGCATCAGAGCAGACTGACATGAGGTCAAAACTTCAGAAGTTGAGGCGGGAGAGCATAATGTCTATGATTAAATTTGAGCCTCTAGAAATCACCCCAAAAACTGCTACAATCCAGTCCTTCGAAATGAAACAGGACGGCGCTTCGTTGTGCAAACAGGCATGGAGCAGAATTCCCGCGTCGCAAAAAGAGTCTGCATATTTCTCCTCTGAGAATAAGAAAGCATCACCAGAAACGCCCAGACCGGTTCAAAATAAAAAGGAGGACAGTGACAGAAAAACAGGGCTTTCCCGCTCTCAATCACTGCCAAAGGCGAAAAATCCCAGCCCTCAGATGGAAAAGAGGCTTAACTCAATAGACTCTGCAGATACTGTTCAACAGCCCAGAACTGCTGGACAAGGTGGCACCATGACCGGTAAGCCCAAGTCTGATAGTTTCTTGCATAGACAGATTCAAGAAAACGTTGCTCCTCAGTCCGTGCTGGGATGTCAAACCTTTGGCAACATCATAGTGAACCCTGCCCCACCTGTACAGCCTCCAGAAAGATGCCAGGCCGACAGTAGTGCAACAATGGCGAGCAGTTCACACAACCAATCCCACAAGACTGCTGTCGGCGAAGCCAAGCAAGAGTCTAAAGCACTACCAACAAGCTTTGCGGCCGAAGTACTCTCACCAATACCGAAACAGCCAAAAGAAAATTCAGTTACACCCAAAGAACCGAATAGACATTCCGACACGATAAGGTCGCGTAGTAACGTCCACTCTGCAAGTGCAATGGAAAACCGGCTGGTGAGTGATCATGAGCTGTCGACAAAGCTTGAAGCTAAAGATGGCGACAAAAAGACAAGTAAGGGTGAACGAGATGAGCTTATGGTGAAATCACAAGAATACAAGCAAGGCGGGCTAAAGGAGCACACTGATGCATCAAGAAGGGTGAGCTCTTCAGTCAAAAAATCTGCAGATGTAGAGAAGCTGGCAAAAGACAAGAAAACTGCATTGCAGCCTAGTTCAAAAAGTGTATCACACAAGCAAACTAGGGACAGCACTCCCTCTCAGCCCAAAGAGTCTGCCCAACAAACTCTGGATGGCACTCCCACTCAGTCCAAAGAGTCTGCCAAACAAACTCTGGATGACACTCCCTCTCGATTCAAAGAATCATCCAAACAAACTCCGGATGGCAATCCCACTTGGTTCAAAGAGTCTGCCAAACAAACTTCGGATGGCACTCCCTCTCGATCCAAGGAGTCTACCAAACAAACTCTGAAAGGCACTCCCTCTCAATCCAAAAAGTTCGCCAAACAAGTTCCGGATGACATTCCCTCTCGATCCAAAGAGTCATCCAAAGAAACTCGGGGTCGCACTCCCTCTCGATCTAAAGAGTGTGCCAAACAAACTCCAGAAGGCACTCCCTCTCAGTCCAAAGAGTCGGCCAAACAAGCTCCAGATGACACTCCCTCTCGATCCAAAGAGTGTGCCAAACAAACTCCAGAAGGCACTCCCTCTCAATCCAAAGAGTCTGCCAAACAAGCTACGGATGACACTCCCTCTCGATCCAAAGAGTCATCCAAAAATATTCCGGATGGCACTCCCTCTCGATCCAAAGAGTGTGCCAAACAAACTCTGGAAGGCACTCCCTCTCAATCCAAAAAGTTCGCCAAACAAGTTCCGGATGACACTCCCTCTCGATCCAAAGAGTCATCCAAAGAAACTCCGGGTGGCACTCCCACTCGGTCCAAAGAGTCTGTCAAACAAACTTCAGAAGGCGCTCCCTCCCGGTCTGAAGAGTCATTCAAACAAACTCCGGATGGCACTCCCTCTCGATCTAAAGAGTGTGCCAAACAAACTCCAGAAGGCACTCCCTCTCAGTCCAAAGAGTCGGCCAAACAAGCTCCGGATGACACTCCCTCTCGATCCAAAGAGTCATCTGAAAATATTCCGGATGACACTCCCTCTCGATCCAAAGAGTGTGCCAAACAAACTCCAGAAGGCACTCCCTCTCAATCCAAGGAGTCTGCCAAACAAGCTACGGATGACACTCCCTCTCGATCCAAAGAGTCATCCAAAAATATTCCGGATGGCACTCCCTCTCGATCCAAAGAGTGTGCCAAACAAACTCCAGAAGGCACTCCCTCTCGATCAAAAAAGTTTGCCAAGCAAGCTCCGGATGGCACTCCCTCTCGGTCCAAAGAGTCATTCAAAGAAACTCCAGGTGGCACTCCCACTCGGTTCAAAGAGTCTGCCAAACAAACTATGGGAGGCACTCCCTCTCAATTCAAAGAGTTGTCCAAACAAGCTCTGGATGACATTCCCTCTGGATCCAAAGAGTCTGCCAAACAAACTCCAGATGACACTCCCTCTCGATTCAAAGAATCATCCAAACAAACTTCGTATGGCAATCCCACTTGGTCCAAAGAGTCTGCCAAACAAACTCCGGATGGCACTCCCTCTCGATCCAAAGAGTCTGCCAAACAAACTCTGAAAGGCACTCCCTCTCGATCCAAAAAGTTTGCCAAACAAGCTCCGGATGACACTCCCTCTCGATCCAAAGAGTCATTCAAAGAAACTCCGGGTGGCACTCCCACTCGGTCCAAAGAGTCTGCCAAACAAACTTCAGAAGGCACTCCCCCCCGGTCCAAAGAGTCATCCAAACAAGCTTCGGATGACACTCCCTCTCGATCCAAAGAGTCATCCAAAAATATTCCGGATGGCACTCCCTCTAGATCCAAAGAGTGTGCCAAACAAACTCCGGAAGGCACTCCCTCTCAATCCAAAGAGTCTACCAAACAAACTCCAGAAGGTGCTCCCTCTCAATCCAAAGAGTCTACCAAACAAGCTCTGGATGACACTTCCACTCGGTTCAAAGAGTCATCCAAAGAAACTCCGGGTGGCAATCCCACTCGGTCCAAAGAGTCTGCCAAACAAACTCCGGATGGCACTCCCTCCCGGTCCAAAGAGTGTGCCAAACAAACTTCGCATGGCACTTCCGCTCAGGCCAAAGAGTCTGCCAAACATATACAGATGCAAGCTTTGGTAGAAAGAAGTGCACCAAACACAGATTCTCACATTGGATTATCTCCTAAGAATGAGACACCATCACACACAACTGCATTTTCTTCAACGAATGAGGTGCCATCCCACCAAACTAAATGGCAAAATATGTCACCCCAGCAACAAGGACAGATACAAAAAGCAGAATCGTTACCAAAACCCAATGAAAAAATTGCCACAACTCAAGTATCTGAATTGCGCGATTCTAAATGTGAATCTACATTCACTCAGTCTAAAGAGAGTACCAAACATATACAGAAGGAAATTGTGGTGCCAAACATTGGACCCAAGATAGAGTATCATCACCCTCCATCAACTACAAAGAAAGAAACGCCTTTCCGTAGCTCTAAATCGCAAGAAATTTCGCCTCAGCCACACGAACCGTTACTAGAAGCAGAATTGTCACTGAAGCCTAATGAAAACATTATAACAAGTCAAATGTCCCAATCGCGAGATTCTAAATGTGCATCTTCTTCCACTCAATCCAGGGAGTCTGCAGAATATATATCAAAGCACCTTTCAGACGCTAAAACTGCACTGAAAAGAGAATCTTGCCCTGTGTCATCTACAAAAAAGGAAACACCATTCCATCTTATTAAATCTGAAAATCCTTTGCCTCAGCAGCAGGAACGAATAAGCAAAGCAGAGTCGTCGCAGAAATCCTGTGAAAACGTTGCAGCGACTCAAGTGTCTAAACTGCAAGATAAAACACTGCTGCCAAGTTTAAAAAGCATGCCACACAAGCAAACTCGAGACATTACTCCTAGCAAGTCCAAAGAGCCTGCCAAACATACACCGAAGCATGTTTTGCTGATGAAAATTGCTGCTGAAAGACATTCTCACACTGCATTTTCTTCAAAGAATGAGGTGCCATGCCACCAAACTAAATTGCAAAATCTTTTGCCTCAGCAAAAGGAAGAGAAATGCAAAGCACGATCGTCACCGAAAACTGACCAAGAAATTGTGGCAACTCAGATTTCTGAATCACAAGATATAGGCAATGCTTGCCAACACACACAGGGTGCTGTAGTGAAGGCTCAACAAGGTCAGACTGCCGTCAAGCGCAAGGAGCAGACAGGAACCCCACTAAAGAGAAACACAGCTCCAGGAAAGGCTGTGACACAAGAGAGTGCAGCCAGCACACCGATTTCACCAAGTGATATCTACAAAACTGGTGAAAGTGAACAGGCGAGTGTTGAACAGCGCATGCATCGTAGAACATATGTTATAAACAACCCCAGTAATGTGCCCGTAAGCTTAGCACAGTCTGCTCTGTCTTCTGCTGATGAACTCGATGGTGCTGCACAAAAACCCACCACACCTGTGCGTGCACTGGCAGCACCACCATCATTGGACAATCCACCAGCAGAGCAAAAGGTGCAGGAGCTTATCCAAGAAGTATCGACAAAAGAACGATGTACAGAGCCCGAGGCGGCGGCAAAACTTTTATCGGCACAATCTGTACCAGCAGAACGTCATTCAAGACACAATGCAGGTGACAGACATGAACAGGAACATTCCTGTGACCATCGATATCATCAGCTTGCTTTTGAGCCTGTACCTCCACACAAAACCCAGATGCCTGAGAATACAGTCTTCACTTCTGGCTCAGCCAACAAATCTGAATCAGAGGGCATTCTCCCACAACAAGGCAACAGTGTAACTGTGAACACCAAGTACATTTCCCCATCTTTAAAACGAACCAATGTGGTGCCATTGACATTGCTGCCATCACCTGGAGGCTGTACCGCTGAAGTGAAGGCACCGCTACCTGAGAGTGATAACAAGGATGCAACCATTCAGCAACAGCAGAATTCTCCCTCTGCTGAAACAAGCAGAAAGCCCGTGGTTCAAGAGCTTGAAAATCCAAATGACCTAGCAGACAACAAAGGAGCGAAATCAACAAAGTATGGCTCATCTTTGGAACAGAGCCAGATCGGTAGCGATAAACATGACCTTCCCAGGAAAAAGCAATTGCACATGTCTCAAGAGCGTGTTGGGAAGGCCAGTAAATCCACCCTGCTTAGTGCAGCTGTAAGCTGTGAAGAGGGTGAAGAATTAGCAGACGATGTGCGCGTGCCCTCTTTGCTTTGTCTCCCTACTGAAAGCATAGAGACAAACCCAATGCTACATAAAATGGCTCCAGGTCCCTTGGAAATACTCACAAGCCAGTATGAGCAGGAACCGACTATACCCAAGTATGATGACATGACATCATCACAAAGCTGTCAAAGTGAAGGTGTGTTGCCATGTCTGCTCGAGGAAAAGTCAAGTGTTCAAGAAAGCGAGGTAAAGAGCGATAACATAAAAGAGGCCAGCGATCTGGCAGACAAAGTTCCTAAATTTGGTGTTACAGGTGACCAGCCACAAACACAGGCTGTGGTTGTAAGCAGCGAAAACTTAATAAAGACACCAACAACAAAAGTAGGAGAAGATGACGGAACGTTGTCCTTCCACCAGATGCAAGCAATTGAAAGTGATGGGAATGACAAAGCTGAGAAGCATGCTGTTCATACTAGATCAGGTACTGCTTCCACCAAAGAGATTGGTGCTGAAGACCATTCAGATACAGCTGTCCAACCAATGGAAGGTGTTCAGACCAAAAGCATGCCATTACTTTCCATGAATGAAAACGTAATTGTTGAGCAGATCATCTCTGTGAGTGGCCATGCACCTGGGCACTCCACAGAGGATCCATGCGAGTCTGCAAGTCCTGTGCATAAGACTAACAAATTTGAAAAGAAAGCCAGTAATAGTGAACAGGACTTTAATGTGAAGTTATCATCGGAAAATGTGAAAGCAGAGAGCAGCATCCTGAGCAAGGAATACACAAGCACAAAAAGGGTGGAAAATGAAGGCCCTCTCGAGAAAGAACCCCAAGATGATGCCTTTGAACTTGAAATGGTCAAGAAAGAGACGAACACATCGAACTATGATCATGAAGACAGGCCAACAACGCTTAAGCACTCTGATGATCAGCGTGCAAGGTGTACTGATGAACAACCGGGAGCCATACAGGGAGATGTGGTTGACACCACTGTGTTCGAACAGAGTGATGACATCGGTAAGCATGCACTTGAAGTCAAAAGCGACACACTTCAAGAGGGTGTCACTGATCTTGCGTGTGACCTCACCACAACGCCAAAATTAGAAAGTGGTGGTCCAACTGCGCCATTACTTCTGAACCAGGCGACGATGACACTTAGTCAGACTGGGCTGAGGAGCCACCTCACAGAAGAGCAGAGAAGTGAGTCCTGTAGTGAAGCTGTGAGCAGGAATGAAATGGATGCCCTCCAGGATGCTATTGTTGGTGCATATGACAGGGCAATACCAGCATCAAAAGGCCCTGAACCTGAAAGAGCAACGAAACAGAAGGGGGCTAGTCATAAGCAAGAAGTTTCTGAAAATCCTCCCATAGAGGCAGTGGCAAAGAAGTCCACTAATGAACCCCTATACGCGGACAGGATTGGCAGTCTAGATGAACACACATCTTGTGCTGGGGAAAACGATTCTACAGTGTCAATATTAAGTCGTATAGAGGCTGGACCTATGTCACTAATGTGGAGAAAGGAAAAAACAAGCACAGAGATGGCAAGCATGAAGGACAGAGAGGAAGCCGTATCTGCTGATGCACCCACACTTGAAGATGGAGTTGGGCAGCCTCAGCAGAGCAGTGCTGTAACTGAGCACAATATTATAGCAGCCTTGCCAACAAAGACTGAATCTGAAAACACACAGGTGCTCGTGATGGTGCAGCAGAGAGACTTAAATGACCCTCAAGAAAGAAATGCACCAATAAGTCAGGAAATGTGCGTACTCGAAGTGGACATACCTTCAGTACGAGCTTCTGCGAGCAATCTGACAGACGAGTCCGGGCCTGTATCACTTGAAACAAACAAATTCGAAATGCCACTAGTTAATGTGGCAGATGAAGTGGCAAAAGCAAATTGTGGGAACGAAGAAATCAAAGCTAACAGCGGAGATGATGTTAAGCAGCCGCTGCACAAAGAGCATAAAGTTTTCACAGAGTATGAAGCACAACCTACACCACCTTCAATGGCTAAGAGTTCTTCCAATCAAGTAGAACAGGCACACAATCTTTCAAGCACTGACCAATCGGTAAAACACATTCCAAAACATGCAGCAGTAGTTGCAGTGGCACCCGTGCCTGATGAAAATGAAATCCTAGTGCTAACATTAGCTGAAGAGAGCCAGAGTCGAGAATTGAAGCATGATGAAACAGATTATTGTCAGCAACAGGACCAGAGCGACAAGAACATTGCTAAGGCAACGCAACATTCCACACCATCGCATCAAATCCAAACAAAAGATGAAGTGGCTACTGTAGGTGTAGCTAGGCCACCAAAGCGTGAAAATGATGAAAGTCTACAACACAACACTGTCATACAACCTGAGCAGTCCATCATTTGTTCAAACTTTAATGCGAATGCAGAATCTACACAACTTGCATCATCATTAGAAGAGCACTGCGGCACTTCTGCTGCTGAGGCAGCTGTTTTAATAAGCACGCAAGAAGAGCACTCTGTTGTAAGGCTAGATGACATTGAAGTGGCTACAGTCATTGAAGTTTCAGCTGAAGAGTTTGTACTTTCGGCAGGTCTTCCACCTACACCTATATTAGGCTCTGACTTGACTGAGACAAGCCAGCTAGTGTATGCAACGAACACAAATGAACAATGTTCTCTGTTTGTTAGTACCACGGAGGGCGGTGTCGAGTCAATAGATTCTGCAGTTGCACACCCAGCTTTACTGTCTTCTGACCAAGGTTCTGTAGAGTTCTTTACAATAGGTTCCTGCAAAGAGGAACACACGGTTGTTCCTTTGGCTGGACATCATGTACAGGATTATGCTTCTGCGGCTGAAAGTGCTGATGAAGCTCTAGACATGTTATCGGACGGTGCAGTTCTATCCACAGAAGCTGTACTGAATGAACTGTCATGTGAGAAAAAACCGGAGGCAACTCTTGCCATCATAGACAGTTCCTCACATCAGACACATACACCAGAAACGGAGCTCGATTCAACCTCAAGACCAAACATGCCCTTGAAAACTCGCTTGGAAAGTCAGATGCCACCTTTGACCACACCACCTCAAACACAACTTGTAGACTCCTTGGTTGTCTTGGACGAAAGACGGCAGTCAGATCTGAAACCCTTGTCTTTCACTGCGAGTTATGCTGAAGCCATCCAGAAATCATCTGAGCAGCCTACTGAAGACTTGCCTTTGCAACTGAGAGATGCCGATGAGATGCTGATCGGTGAAAGTTCCTTGACTTCACAGGTGGTGGTCTCGCCACCTCCAACACTGGTCGGTAATCAAGAGGCGAGTTTGAATGTTACTAACACTGAAGAACCCATTCGCGCGACGTGCTTGCTATCACCTGCAGTCACAGAAAGTCCTGTGCAGGTGGAAACCGAAAAGCAGTTTGTGAAGATGATGATGACGCAGGCGGAACCCGCCACAGAAGTTATGCTCGCATGTCACGGGGAATGGAAACAAAGAGAGCCGACCCATAATCCAATGCCTCTTAGAAAACGCCTGGCTATGCGACAGCTGCGAGAAAGTGTCTCGGAAGAAAGTACACTCTTTCCCGAGCAGCATTCTCCCTCATTTTCCACTCCTTGTGTAGAAGAAAGAACATCTGAAGAACAGGAACCGAAAAAAGCTGTCGTGAAACCCAAACGCCGAGGCAGGACGTCACAAGCACGCTCACGAGGAGAGGGCGACGAAGCAGAAATGGTACAAGTGAGGAGGTCCACCAGAAACAAGAAAGCACCGGAACGTTTCTGTTTTTAAAATGGTTTTTGTGCTTTTATTAAGCCCACAAATACGGTGACGGTGATCGCCAGTACAACTCCACAATTGAAACACTGTGTGCATAATCATACACTCATGCCCATTTAGAGTAGGTCATTCGTCTTAATTTGAAAATAGTAGTATACATGTTACAACATTCCATTCGGGTGCTCTTTTTTTTTTTCTCTTTTCTGAGCGTTTGGCTTAAATCCATTTCTTTCATCTTCAGTATCATAAAAACAGCATGGAACAGATTTACAATTCTGGAATTGTTCTGCATTGCTTTGTTGATTCCGCAATTGTCAACTCTAAAAGATACTGAGGAGAACAGCGCGAAAAACGGGACCAAGAAAGAATGAACGCATGACACAAGCGCTGCCTAAAATTCTAAACGATACCTGGAAGAGCAGGAATCATATAGGCTATTTAAATCAAATTGTGTTTAATATACAGCCATGCTTATTTCAATAAATTTCAATGCGAACCATTAATGTAAAGAAATAATGAGGGCACCTTCCTAAGTGGCAACATACTGTACTGGCATTGTTGAAAGCAGGTACATGTTTATTTGTTAACAGTTTTCAGTTATGAACTTGGTGCCATACAAGTACATATTGCAATGCATCTACAGTCGGAAGTATCTAAGGATGCATTTGATATGCTTAAAATGGTAATGTTCTCGATTTTCAAAGGCACCTGAAGTACATTCTATAGTAGAATTTCAGTAAACTGAATTCGTCTAAAGGGAACAAACAGCTCTGGTTTTGTTTTTGACTGCTGTACCCTTACACATCTTTCTTAGTAAATGAACACGCTTTTTTTGTGTCTTCTGGGTATAGTTACCAAGATTTTACAGTAGTAATACTATGTTGCCAAACTGCGAAATAAGCTTCTGTGAACCTGTTAGGCACGAAGCACTGCATTGCATGGGAACAAGGAATTTAGAGCCAAGCATCGCTTAATCATTCCTTTGTGATCTTGTTATCAGATACACATCAAGAGGGCCTAACAGTTGTCGACTGATTTCTTGATTGCTAGGACATCTTCAGTATTATTATCACTGTAAATTTTCGTAGTAAGGCTCGACTCGGGCACTCGAGAGCAAGTATGCCGTACAGCTTTGCCCTGCGTATAACAAATGCAACATGCCGAGTTGCGAGGATCGTTGTGCATGCCTGTAATTGTAGCGGTGAAAACATTCAAAGAATAAAAGCCAGAAAGTGCTTAAAGCCACAAAGTGCAACGACGCGACTTTTGAGTGGGTCTTGCTGCTATGCCGTTTCCCCGGGTAGTTTGCAGTGAGCTCATGGTGACAAAACGAGAGGAAAGTTACTCGGAAGCTGTGACAACTTCCTGTAACACTGCTTGCTTGATAGATTCGAAACTTTTTTGAGACAGCAGACTTGCAAGGCAATCTAGTCATATAGTAAAGTTATCTTATCATTAGCACTTAGAAGAGGAATACAGTTGAAGACATTGAGATGCTTTTAGTCTACGACTGTTACATTATTTCATTTGACACTTTTATTACTTCAGAGTTTGTTGAAATGACGGCTCTAAGTAATTTCACAATGTACAGGGATCTTATTGCTTCGTCACTTTCTCAGATAATCATTCTTCATTTTATCAGAATCATACTGCCTATCTTCCGAGTAGAAGCTCAGCTAGAGTAAGTCTTCAACAGATGCAATATAAACGAAGGATAGCACATGTTGCCATTGGTGAAAATGTAAATTGGCACCAAGATTCTGCCATTTGGATAACAATGTATTGGGTTGTTATCTGCACTTGCAAGCACTCAATGCAAGTTTTTTTTAACGTTGCCGTGAAATGTGTGCACAGTCTTAACCTGCAAGAAATGTTAACAGCCCAAGCTGGACAATGAATTTCTAGTTGGGAGATGGAAATCCATTCACAGGAGAGATGACAACGATGATCGTGGATAATAACAAGACTGGCACTGAGATACTTTTTCAATTCACACGGTACATCTAAGAGAACCTTTCACGATACCGGTGCCACATACTGCCCTACTGCTGAGGATGCCTCCTCAGGCACTTAATCATGTTGCCTCGTCGAACTCTTGCACCTTGCATGTTCATTCCTGTTCCCACTTGTTGCTTGAAGTTTTCATATGAGTGACTTTAATAAAAACTCATTCTGTCAAACCTGGAAGCTCACTAGTCTGGTAAACATTCTTTTTATAGCCTTCATACACACTACCAGGCACTTACGCTTACAGGCATTTAATGTACATGTGAGTTCAGTGCAAGATAGGTTTTAAGGTTACAGGAATATGATAACAAACAAAAATTTAGAAGTGTTATTAAGAACCATGCAATGTGATCGCCGGTATTTATTTCGGTAGCACAGACACGAGAGAAAACTCACAAACAAGACGGGTGCTAGTTTATTTTTTCGCACTACCAAAATGAATTACAGCCGTCACGACCAACTGGCCTGCATTACCGCCTTGACCACGCAATGCGCAATAGAGCAGGGAATGACAGGTGCAACATTAAGAGACGGGGCGAGAGCAGAGTGAATTAAAGAACACTTATGAATAGCCATGATTCTACCTGACATTAGGAAGAAGAAGTGGACCTGGGCATGTCACGGAATGCGAAGGACAAATAACCACTAGCAACGAAATGGATTGCAAGGGATGGGAACATTGCCTGCAATAAAAAAGCCTGCACAAGCTAGGGTAAATTGGTGACCACTAGGAGAGGCCAGCATCCTGCAGTGGGCATACAACAGGCTAAGAAAGATGCTGATGAACACATACTCTAATTAATCAAAGCTAAACATTTTCTTTCTCTCTGTCCTTTTTTTTTGTGTGTGAAAATGTAGGAATCAGCCTGGGATGTGGTTATCAGATTCTGTGAGCAAGTTATAAACTTCAATGTTACCTTTAACAATTCATTCAATACTTGGTTCAGTACATCAAGAAAGCAAACAAACTTTGAATTGTGGGAGGCATGCATAGAATCGTTTGGCAAGTTCAGTTGGGTGCAAAAGTTTGATTGAAAAGAGAAAGCAAGCAACACAGGTGCTGTGCTGTATTCTGTGTCCTATACACAAGTCAGGTAGGTGCTTATCTCACGCACTCCACTAAAACTGTGTAATGATAAATGTAAAAACCAATGCACACATCATTGTCAGTAACGAGGCATTTCTATGGGCTTATCTGCACTCAAGTTCAATCGGATGGCAATTTGTGGACACTCCGTCAGTGTTGCAGAAAATGTGTCAGGCGGCTGAATGCATGTCTGCACATAGCACGTTTCTGAATGTCTTTTGTTCCACCCGATACAGTATGAACCTGAGCCATAATAATGGACTTCAAATTAGACAACCCATGGCAAACTGGATGAAAGTAATAATGACAGCAAACAAAGTGGCAGTATTTGCATCGTTCAAGTTTATCTCTATGGCTCCAGCAGTGAAGAACCGGATTTTTCTTCTGCAGCCAAGTACAATTGGGACTGGTTTACAACCCCGAACAGCTTTGATTTTCCGTTCTTTGGGCCATGCGGCAGAAGTGAGTGTTCCGAATAGCATGCATCCACTTACCATCCGACATAGGTGCAGACAAGCATGAAGATGGTGCGGAATCCATCTTTTCTGGGAGGCGTGGCATGGTAGACAAGCTTGGCTTCAAGCAGCGCGAAGAATGAAATGGTGGTGTGCTGCAATTGACAAGGGCAGCCAGGTTCACAATGACGCAAGAACATGTAACGAAGTAACACATAGAAGATGACATTGTTAAACTTGACTTGAGCTTGGGAGTTGAATTCCAACTAGGACAGATACAGTCTTTGGGTTTCTCGGAGGATTTAAAAACAGTAGTTAATGGGATTCCATCATGTACTCACAAACCGCTGCTGCTCAACACTTAACCCAGACCTCACTTTTACAGTGCTTTCTTAGCCTCTAGTGCCATTTTTTTTTTACAGAGGTTCATTCACATCCATCCAGTTAGAAACAGGGCTTCTAAAGCTGCCTTAAATTAGATTACCGCTGGCTTGTAAGGGCTGTGCACTATGTGAACGTATACACACCGACAACTGGTTGAGCCACCATGGATAGTAGATTGCGAGTGATTGAGGGAAAATCAGCTCTCGGTCGTAGAAGTAGAGAGACCAGAATAATCCAGTCACAAACTGCAAAAAGAGATAGAGCAATGAAAAATGAAAGTGTAATCTATAGTTGTTTCGGCAAGACTGGTAGCAAATCATTGCAAATCTGTGCTTGCGCACTGACTGGTTTAGTGTTACAAAACAGTAAAACATTCTTGTTTGCTTTTGCAACAGCTGTTGTTTGTAACATTTCTTTTATACATAACATTTCTCATTTTAGTTTACAATTTTTCTTGTCCCTGTGGGCTATTCCAGCAGAACAAACTTCAAATTATATTCGAAAATGTTGAGGCCAGCTCAATCAGGATATGAGGCTAGCAACTTTGTGTTGCAATAACTATAGCATAAACGAAGAAAAACAAAAGAAATTGCAGCACAATGTCTTGTACAATAAGAGGAATATTTTGAAAAACAAATGATGCTGTAATATTGCAACTAAAATGTTTGGAAGTCCTACAGGAACTGTTTAAACAGAACGTTCAGTGCTGAAACATTACCCATAAACAAGTGCAAACAAACAAGTAATAAGTCTGTAATTATTTTCAACATTGATAAATTTATTGATACAGCAGATAAATATATTGCTGCCTCAGTCAACAATCACTGTTTATTACCCAGCTATTTTGGGACCACTGTAATGAAGTAGCTGTTATTTTTTGTACGGTGTTATCTTGCCAGTAAGTCACTTTAAGGGGCCCTGCAACACTTCTTAAGCATGGTCAGAAAACGCTGCCGATCGGTAGTAGAGGCTCTCGAGCCGCAAATTTCAACTCCGCAAATTTTTGCGGTGTTGAATTTTTGAGGCGATAAGCTTTTCCAATGAATTAATTTTATGGGTACTCAAAAAGTGTTGCAGGACCCCTTTAAATTAAAATTTGTTTGTAAGTGTCCAAAAATTTAGCAGCAGAGTTCGAAAAATTTGCGATAGGCCTAACCAACAAGAAACAACGATTACACATGTCCATAATAAAGTCTGGTATAAATGACCCATAGAAGAGCAATCAGAAAAAAGAAAGGGGGGGGGGGGGGGGGGTCCGAATAGTAAACTTTTCAAACAAATCGAATGCGAATTGACTACAGTAACACCAACTGCAATACGAACACAAATCAAATACTGTTTGAATACTAATTTTCTAATAGTAAAAGAACCACTTAAAAAAAATGTCCCTAGATGGGTAAGGTAATAATTTTTAAAACAACCCTATAATTTCACAGCACTGTATTCAATAAAGCTTTTCCCAAGATTTAGCAAAGAAATGCTATGATTACTATTAACCGACAAAAATACCACAATGATTTAAAATGAGCCAAGCTTGTATAGAGAAAAAACTAAAACCTTCGAAATATTTCCCGACTGTAGGGTGAAAAAATAAAACTGGTACACAAATATTTAACACTTTTTGTGAATTACGATCATCATGAGCGTTATGAAAGTGGATTGATATCATGTCACGTTGTGTCATGTAGTGGATGAATGACAGTTTCGCTTCGGCTAAAGTGCAGTTTTAAGCAAGAACGCCTTTATCCTGGGATTATTATATAGCGTCGATAGTCCGATAGGTACATCACCTGCCTGCATTTGGTTAATTCAAGAATGAATGAAAACAAGAAAAGTTACCCCTCGCTGTTCCAGGGCCTCATTCCTTCGATCAATTTTTGTCATCTCTGATTATTCAAGAAATATTTCGATATTTCGAATATGCACTATTCGATTCAAGCACTGAATGGAACAGAACACAATTCAATTAGTTATTCGTAATGTTCGAATATTTGCACACTCCCAAAAGAAACATTTTTGGATATAAATTTTTATATTCCAGGATATTTCTGTATTCCCTTTTACTTTCTTTAAATTTTGCATCAAAATAACAGAGCTGGTATGTCAGTGTCACATCATAGATTTTGAGAGTATCTGTTTTACTTAGGCCACTAATGTGCAGTAGCCAATTTTTTTTTTTAATTGTCAAGTCCTGTCCTTTGCTTCTCTAAAACTGAATGTAATACATCTTGCATTATGAATAAAGCAACAGGAATTGATCGAGGGGCCCGTTTTTGTTGGGCACAACCTCACCAGGCCAACAGATAGTGATGCCAATGAAACCACAGGGGGCATTATGTGTAGCTTTTTTTTATGAAAGTGTAATTTTGGGATAGAGAGAAATGAAAGTAAACGAATATAACGTCTTGCTGCCAATGTAATATATGACCCCAGAACCTCTGAGCTATGCCAAGGTTGTGGACACAAGTGGCATATGCTAGCACTCCCAGTGTCACACATATATGAATACCCAAGGAAATGGACATAGTACAATTCGACAGTGCTTCATTTCAGTGAACCAGTGGTGAGTCATAGGGCATGTCCTATTTCTGTAGCACATACCCAAGTTCGGCGAGTTTAAGGGGCTGACTGGCATGAACAAAACTCAAGCTTAGACAGATCTGTTGTTTGAAGTTGAAGTTATTTTGAAGTTTTGTCAGCGTTTAGGTTAGAGTACCAACAAACCATTCACACACAAATTTAGTGACATGCCGTGCACCAAGGCCGCTATGGAAAATTATATCATACTCTCCTCCTCACCTCGGCCTGGCCCCCTCAACTCGTGAGGCACGCTGGCGATCACAGAGCTTTCATGAGTACACTCGACGATTTGATCTTTTACCAGTATAGACCTCCAAAATTGCACACCTACAGGCTGCGCGCATTCTCGGAGGCCATGACACAGTGCACCCGGCAGCACGCACGTTGTCTGGCAACAGAGACGACGAACACAGACGTGGTTCATATCTGCTCCGACAGGTGCCGCCATCCTACCAGCTGATTTTACTTTGGCGTAATCCACAGCCCATGACAGCTAATCAGATCAGAAATCAATCAATCAGAAATGGCCAGAGCATGTCACACTGGGAATGTGCGGTTGAAAATGCATTTGGCCGAGTCGCAGTGGTCTGCAGCGATTCGTAGTTTTAAAGCGTGTAACAAATTACACATTTTACACTGAGAGTTCAAATCAGTCTCTAATTGATCCTTAGGACTTGGTCTATTGGCCCAATGTGTTTGCTTTTGTAACAGCCTGGAATGACGTCAGATCACCTTGTCATGCCACAAAAGGAAAAAGCAAACTCACCATGCATACCGGTAGCGACAATGCAACGAAGAGGTGGTCGTAAAACCGCTTGAGCCGTTGCTTATTCCGTATCGGCGCAAAGTCGAGGAAGCAGCTCAGTGTGAACATGAGCCCCTGAAATGTCTACAATAGATCCCATTTTGTTGAGGCATAGAGATGGAGGTAAGAAATGTTACTTGATGCATCTGTAGAGCTGAAAACTAAATGAAAGTACTCGGATTATAGGCAAAAGCAGAACACTGAACAAGAACAGCTAGCAGAAATAAGCTCTGATAGGGCGCGTTAAGTTCATGTGCTTCGAATTCCAAAAAAAAACACGCTCGGATGCATGCGAGTGCGATGCCTGTGGAGCTTAGCTTAATGGCAATTTATGCCGCCTGCTTTTGGGGGTACGAAATCGTTTCGTAGTGAATGTTACATTGCTCCACCGAGTGAACAAGTGGGGAAGCAGAATGCATTTCATCAGAGGAGAGAGCGGGAAACACATCATTTACCAAAAGCGGTAGCAGGGGCGAGCTCTCGTTCAGGCCCTTGTGGACCGTCTCGGGGGTTGGAGCACGCACAGCACGCTCCGTAATCATGCACCAGAAGTCGCTTTTTAATGATTAAGTTTACAAAAGCACAGTCCTCTGGATAGAGCACACTCGAGCTCCTTAGTTTAAAGTGCCCATTGACAGCATGTCAGTTCTGATCTATGTCTTGCTTTTCGTGACACTAAGCCTATAGCAATAGTGCCTTGGTGCCGCAGAAAGCACCACTTACTTTTTTTTGAGATTAAGGCTTGGTGTCACTGCGAGGTCGTGATGCTAAGGCTGCAGTATTAGCATCACAACTTCGCACTAGCGTCATGACCTTGCCCTAGTGTATGACCTTTCCTCAGCCTCACAAAAAATTACCAATTAGCCCAATTCATCATAACTTGATACTATAAGACAAAAAGAACAAAATTAAGTAAAGCATATCACAGCAAGACAAGATAAGCAGCTGAATTATTAAAGTGGAGATATTAATCAGTCGAATAGAGACACTGAATAGGCCTTAATAAAAGAGGAGATCTTGGCATGGATTAACATGAAGTACACGTTTTCTACAGAACAGGCAGGGGTCGTTGTACACACATTATTTTATTTTAGCGTTATAACAGCAGACACCCAACATTATCTAACACTATCCAATACTCGTACTATGTAAGCAAATATGGTAGATGTTATAAAACTGTACACATTAAAAAATGCATGAAAAATACATTGTACTGCATATTTTTTCTGAGCTACTATGATGGTTAGCATGCCCTAGATTTCATCACCCAAGATTTTCTCTCGTTACTTCAACTTGTAATTTTTTTTATGTAGACCTATAAATTGTTGCTGTGACACCAATTTATAATGCGTAGCATGCTTTGCAACAATTACTCCTTCTTGTGACTGAGAAGTGACTGCTTTTATCCTGAACTCTTAGTGCTCTGCATATGAAGCAGTATCATCGTATGTGCAGGCAAGAGCATTTATGACCAAGGTCTTTTAGGTTTGGCTGACTAGCAGAGTTTCTCTAAACTATCACTGTTTCACAATGCTTCTGCCACAGTCACAGCAGAAAAATGAGACAAGGTAATCTCTGCAAAAAAAAGAAAGTTAGTATGCACTTCACATGGTTCTTTTATAATATCAACACATTGTGGACTTAGTGTTTCTTTGTGCAGTCCTGTTTTCTTCTTTTAAAAGTAAACTGTTAAAGACGAATGCTGGCCATACCAAGTTCCAGTGGGTGAGGTACTTGTAGCGGCCAAACCTCTTGTGAGATGGAGTCCGCTGCGGAATGTCCAAGTGAACCTCGGAATAGTAGATGCAGTACGCGTATGTGCAGAAACCAATCACGTGAAACAGCTTGATCCCCCAGTGCGTCATGCTGATGGACATTAATCTGCAATGGTTCGGAAGATAGGAAAAGATAAAAGGTAATAGAACTCGGAAACATAGATCGAAAGTGCAACGGCAAAGTTGAAGAAATCCTGCCACAATATCTACAACAGTGCACAAAAAGCTCGAGGACTGAACAAATGAACTACAGATGTGGCATATGCCGACTCGCAGCTAAAAAAAAGTTCGGTGATGTTTCTGCATGCATAAACTAGTAAACATATACAGTACTCGTGGATTGAAACGGATCAATTTAGGGGTACCAAGTAATGCACATACCTTCATTTATATCGTGTTCATTTCAGGTTGCATAATCATAATTTCAACTTGACTTATTTTTAGAGAGGTGATGCATCGCCACATGACGTGGATATCTTGAGCAATTGCACGTACCAGTTCTCATACTAAAAAAAAGCTTGCCATCGCATTTGAATCCATGAGTACTGTACATCTGACAAAGTGATGCAGCAGCCATCTGACTGATTTCAAATTAAAAAAGTACTTTTCGAAGATACAGAGTCTCTTCTATGACAAACAAAATGAAGTTCAGCCTACAGAGTTTTCCTTTCTCTTCTGTAGTTTTGATTCATCAAATGCCTCTTGCATGTAAGACATGAAAACTTTGCAAGTGTGAAGCCTGGAAAAATTTCTTTTTTCTACTTGATACTGCATGAAATTGTTCTCAAAAGCTAGGCCCGGTCTGAATGTTATTGTTTAGATGTAATACCACCAAAAAAGTTTCTCGCGTCGCCCAACAATGAGGCGACGTATGAATAATGATGACAGCACGTACATAAAAATTAGACAGGTATTTGTGCATATCGCAATGCATAAGCTGCTACAAAGCAAAATTAAGTAAATTCTTTGTAAATAAGTACTTTGAATAGCGAGATGTAGCTACAAGTTGCTATGATATATGCTACAAAATTAGCACCTATACTCTGAATACCATTAAGCTTTGTACCTGTGACCCGGCATTATTTTTCTTTATTTACCTAGCCCGCTAAACTAAAAAAAAAAAAAATGTTTTTTTCTTCTATATCTGGTTTTGTACTGACATGAAACTGCAGCTAATTGTAATTACAGCAAAAAAATACAATTCTTGGCGCGATTGGTCACGGGTGCATGCATCTTTCCTCGCTTCTAATTACGTTCAGCAGCTGAGCATTAAAACATTTGCAATTAACGTCATATAGTAATTAGCAAGCGCAGTCGGCTGCATGCGCGCTGCTTCGCGATCGAACCACTGCACATCATGCACTTCATTTCGATGTTACTTGCTGTCAAAATACCGGCATAATTAGTTTACTCTCACGCTCGGATGACTTCCTGCTTACATCGGGTTGAAAGAAACGCTGCCGTGCTTGCTTAGTTTACAAGATTCAACATTTTCGGTATAACATATTAGGCATGCGTGTATACGAATATTCGCTCACAGCCGCGCTTTCACAACGAACAACATGTCTAACTAAAGACGTGCGGTATAAAAGAGGTTTCCAGGGCCCAGTCATATTTTTTTCTGATACATTAAAAAGGTCTAAACGCCGGTCATTTTGATCGATGGTCAATGCAACTATAACGGTGCAGCATTTGCACAACAGCGCTACCGAAGTATTTCGCAGAGCTGCCTTGAGTAGAGCATGATAGATCGAGATTGTTATAAAGCTGATAAGTAACGATCACGATGATAACGCGTCAAACGAAACTCGTCTACCTACCGGCCCACACCACCTCGGCTCTGGTTCTTCCACGACCCTTATCAGTTGTCCTCGGCAAGCGGAAACGAGGCGCATTAACGCAATGACGTCGAAGAAAATTTCATCAAGTCATTCTGGATTACATTGGGAACAATCGAACGACCGTGAAGGTGGCCCGGCTGCGGCAAATTTTTTAAAAGGCAAAAGCAAAACGATGCACAAAAAAAGGAGGAGTGGCTGAACGTGGCAATAGCGATGGATTTGCTTGTTTGCACCGAGACGTGAGTGATGGAGACGGAAAGAATAACATGAAGGCAAAATTACATGATTCGTGTGTTGAATATTGGGATACAAATGGACCAACACCGAATGGACACGAAAAATGGAGATGAACGAAGATGAGACGCGGGCCGCGGAGCGCAGCGAATGCGAAGGAAGCAATAGTGTGACGTAAGCAAAAAAAGGTGAACTCCCATTGGCGGAATTTTCGTTGGCAATTTTCAGTTGTGTTCCAGAGTGGCGGTAGATTTGGCTCGGCCATAGGTGTTGTCTGGCTCTGCTGTTTGCCGTAGCTGCGCTACGAAGTCGGCCGTTTCAATTCTTCGTTGCACTTTTAGTTTATCCCTGCTGCGTCGTTCACATCCTTTTAGCAATGGACGGCTCTACGGACCAAGCGTTTGCTGCGCTGAAAGAACTTGCTGCTTGTCTTGACGCTGAAATCCCGAACGCCGCCAACTGTCTACAGGGCCCTTCTGGCATTCTTGAAACCAAATCGGCTTCCACGAATGCCGCTACGCAAGTCTTTGAAAAGGCGACACTTATTGAGGTGCGTGTTATAAGACATCACGTTGAGTGCTCCAACGCTGCCGTGTTTTCTGACGCACTGTGTGCTAACCCGTTAGAATTTTGTGGTTATCCCCTAACGTACTCATTGATGTGGTGCTTTTCGTTTGTTTACGATTATCAGACCGCTCAGGCTTTTTCCATTAAGTGGTGCTTATGAATGCGGTCTATATGTTCAGCTGTCACGATATTGACAGGAGTCTTTTCTCTCAGATCTCCGTTCTAGGTGTGGTCAGCAATATCAAAGGGTAGCCCGGGGCTATGATGGTGCCATCCTGCAGCGTCTCATTGCCCCACATTTACTACGACCCAACTGTTCACAGTTTATTCTGTACGGCCGATATTGTAAAACACACACACACACAAACACACACACACACGCGCTACATTGGATGAATTAACATCTGGTCTGTATTTGCGCATTAACACCTCTTTGTTTTGTCTATTTTGTTTCAGGCCGAGCTGAAGATGGTTGTGTTAAGGCTCGAAAAAGTGATCCAGGAGAAATTAACATCAATTAACGAAATGACAGAATGCCTGAAGCAAGTAGACAGCGACAACAGAGAGACATTGGAAAAACTTATACCTCTCGGTTTCAAAGTACCCGATAATCTCTTACCTGGTGAGTCCATACATTTACTGTGATTAGGAACAGTTAATTACAATTTAGGAACGATCAGACTGTTTAAACAAAACTATGGTGTATTAGAGAAACAGATTAATGACTAACAAAGTGCCATATTGATCGAGCTCTACAGACGGCATCATTTTTTCATTATTATCTTGGTTGATTCTGTTTCTGTAGCTAATACTACATCAGTAGCTTATGCGTCATATGAAAGTTTTTGCATCTAGTAGGATTACCCACAGAGAGTAAGGAAGTGTTTTATGAAAGGTCTGCTCTGGATACAAAAAAGGCACCAAATTTGTGCATTGCAACTTCATTTCGTGTACATCTGACTGGAGGAGCGCTATTAAATGGGCTATGCAATGTTTAGTGTTACAATGTTTTTTTTTTTTTTACTAGGACGAAACTACCTATTTCTCTGACAAAGCTCTGAATTTATTAATTTATTTATTTATTTATTTATTTATTTATTATACCCTCAGGGCCAGAGGCATTACAGAGGGGGTGGTACAGAACAAAGGCATAACATGAGGTAGCATGGTTACAAAAACGTTGTGTACATAAAAAGGAAAGGAAAGACAAAACAAATTAGTATTATCGCAACAATGTGGTCACACAAACACAGATTAAACATCAGATATTTCTGCATATACAATATTGGCTAAGGCAGCACGGAACAGTTGGTTATCGGTGATACCCGCAATTTCAGCGGGAAGGTGGTTCCATTCCCGGGACGAACGGGGCAAGAATGACTGAGTGGCAGATTTTGTATGATAATAGTTAATGCCAACCTTGTGACGGTGGTCAATGCGATGGGAAATGTATAGTGGTTGGGGTAAGAGTTCGTTGCGCAGGAAGGAATGATAATATATTTTATGCAGCATGGTTAACCGAAAAAGTTTCCTGCGTGATAATAAAGAGGGAAGGGAAAGGCTGCTTTTCATTGAAGGTATGCTGGCAGTACGGTTATAGTTTGACAGGATAAAGCGAGCGGAATTATTTTGAACAAGCTCGAGAGAAGCGATTAGATTTTCCTGGCTTGGATCCCATACTGATGCTGCGTACTCTAACTTGGGGCGTATTAAGGATTTGTAAAGCGATAATTTTAGTGACGATGGGGCTCTAGAAAAATTGCGGCGTAAATATCCTAACATGCTATTAGCGTTGTTGATGATATGTTGATGTTGATGAATTTCACCACATTCTCAGCTTAGCCGTGTTATCTGCTGGTGTTGCTACAGTTTTCAGTTGTCGGTGTAACTGCCCACGGGGCTTGTGGTAGCTTTGCCACGGTGTGCACAAACGTTTCAGTACTGTTAGGATGCAAGGCACATGTTGATCGGAAGCAGGGAACCACATCACCGGGTATGTGAAAAGGTCGGCCAATCTCTGTTACCATCTACTTTTATTTTTAGTTTGCGAGTCAATAAATTTTGCTTACATATTTCAACTGTCAAAATCCTTCTTTGAATTCCTCTCCTGGTGATGTAAAAAGAACGAGCTGTTATGCAAAAAACCCGGTTGATCCCTCTTTTTAGGAATTGGTATACCACCAAAGTGAAACGTGTTCTTGCAGAGACAGTTGAGCGTTCATTGTGCATTGTCTCACCACAAGGGCGAAAAAGGGAATGCCACAGCAACAAATTGTTATGTCATGCAAAGAACAGCAAGCAACTCAAAACTTGGAGTGCCGCCTCAACCAGAAAGCACGCACGAAATGAGCATACACAGGATGAGTGCAGACAAACAGCTGTAGCAGCTCGACACTTAAAGTACGCTGCTCAAACAGAAAAATGCATGAAACAAATCTACAAGTATACACAGCACAAGCGCAAACAACCATCGCAATTCTTACTTCGTGTGTGAGCAGCGTGTTCCTCTCGTAAATGCGGCTGTGGCAGCAAGCGAAGTCACCTTTTACTTTACAAAATCGGGAGTCTGGTATGCGTGCATGCAGGGGAGAACTCGCTCTGTAGAAGCAGGGCTTACCAAAATGCAAGAGACGACCTCTAGAGTGCCCCAAAACGCGAGCCCGTTGGGCCATCTCGTTACTGATGATGAAAACACACTGACGCTATGGAGCTCAGAGGACTGTCAAATGGTGTGTATTGTGAGTACAGTCACTGACTCTTTTTTATCAATTGGACGTGTAATCACCATTTGTATAACGTCCTCATCTGTAGATATCATCATCAGCGTGTGCCAGCTCGAGTTCGTCTCGAATAAAGTGCTTTCTCATAATATTTCTCATAAATGGCTTGCTGTTAACAAGCTGGAAAAAATTCGTTCTGTGACGTAGTGGTCGGCATTGCGTGCCGAGAAGCGTGAGATCGCTAGTTCGACGCTCTGCTCCAAAAAGATTTCTTCTCGTTTTTTTGCAGTCTGTTAGTATAATTTTACGTCAAATCTCTGACAGAAATATGTCGGCGTGCCGGTGGTGGAACCCGGCATAAAACACTTTCATGTTAAAAAATAGGCGGATAAAGCTTAGGTGCAGTGCCCAGATTCTCAATACCAGGTCATCAAAATTAGCGTGGAGCGCTCCTGTACAGCATGCCTCATTATTGTGCCATGATTCTGGCACATAAAATGTGAGTTCTAAATACGAAGCTATTTAAAAGGACTCTGAAGAGAAAAATGATTTGTCTGTCATTAGTAAATTACCCTTTCACAATTCTGAAATCGCCATGCTCGTTGCGAAAAGATGCTTGGCAAGTGAGAAAGCATGCATAAAGAAAAGGTGGTGATGCCACCTTTCTTTTAGTGCCGGAATTTTAAGGTAGCGACACCACCTTGAAATTCTGGCACCAAACGTTGTGACGTCACAAATTTTGATGGTGTTTACTAAGGCCTACGTAGCCCCTAGTAGGTAAAAATGAAGTGCATGATCTGCTGATGGGGCAACAGACTTAAGGCACCAAGTTTCGAGAAATTTCGTGGAGTCATTGTCTTCAAGATACGGCAAATGCATTTTGAAATTCGTGATTTCACACACGCATATTTCGGTGTGGACTTTAAAAGTGGTACTTTGAACATTTTTTTATCCTTCAGTTATCAACTTATGATGGTAAGACTAGCGACACTAGAGTTCGAGAATACTTTATCCATCTAAACTAATTCATTGTTTCGCTTTAGTGTCCTTTAAACCGGAGGTCAGGCTGTTCGGTGTGTGAAAAAAAAAAACCTCGCTGAGCATGATGTCACCATTTGTCATCTAGCTACGTGTTGGAGGAATGAATGGAGGAACAGAGAAGTACAGAGAAGAAATACATAAAATGAAAAAAAAATTGCTTGATGAGGTGTAATTCGAACCTAGGTTCCCATGGCTTTAATGCGAGCATTGTAACCATGTGGCTATCCAGGCATGCCAGTAGAACAAGGATTTATTGCAACCATGTGATTGCGTTGCTATGGCCGAGAGAATGAGAAAAAGGTAGAGAGAAATATATATATATATATATATATATATATATATATATATATATATTGAGAGAGGGCCTCAGTTTTGCTTTCATATGCTTAACCGCCCCTCTCTGTGCACATGTGGCTATATCTGGGGCTCCATGTTTTTGGATAAATCTGAAAATAAAAAATCTTTTATACACCCTGTGGTAAATTTTGAAGAAGTTGTATTTGTCTACTAAACTTCGATTTTTCAAGGCCGATATGACCCCGTTCAGTGCTTCAAAAATTAAAAGGGTATATTCTAAGCGCCCATTGATACATTGGCTGTTTTCACCAATATAAAACTTACCTCACGTCAACAATATCTCGTGGACCGCACTTATTGCACATTTAAAAAAGGGCTTGTCCCGCACAGTGTGAGAGATGTCAACATATGAAGGGCCCCTGGGGATGACATTTTTATATAGGTGTGCCAGACAAGATCGAATATATGGACCATGTAAAATATGCTTGCTTCTGTTACCACTAGCTTTAAGGTTGTAATATTATTGACCATTGATGTTTTGTATTCAAATGTATGTGTTTGGGTGCATATGAATTCAAAAAAAGTTATTGTCTTCATTTAGAAAACTGTCGTCCCATGTCACTAACATCTTCTCGCTCAATTAATTGAACATGTTATTGCAAAAGCCCCAAGTGAGTTTTTTTGATGACAGAAGAACTTTAACGAGCTCTCAACACGATTTTAGAGAGGGGTAATCCACACACAAATAGTCTCCGTCACTCACAGTTTTGCTTCTGCTATTGACTATTATAATCAAAATAATTTAATTTTGGATTTTAGTAAATCTTTTGATAAGGTATCTCATGATGGTCCTGAAATACTAGTTTCTTGGATAGGTGAATACCTAAAAAATCGCGAGCAGTTTGTGGATATAGGCGGGCATCGCTCAACCTGACTGCTGATCACTTCTGGGATACCACGGGGAAGTGTGTTGAGTCTTTTGTTGTTCTTCCTGTATGTCTGAAATTCTTGATTCTATTAAGCTGATTGTCCAAATAAGACTTCTTGCAGACGACTGTGCCCTGTTAAAAAAAAATCACCCGTGCTAGTGACCGAAATAACCTGAAGTCTCAGTCAAATTTTCTAGTGGTGCACCCATTGGGAGATGACCCTGAGTGTTGAAAAAAAATGTTTTTTTATTGTTTTAACAATTACCCCAAATAAAACATCTCTGTGTTATAATTATATTGTTACGGGTTACTTATTCAATAAATTAAATACGATGCGCCGTGCTCGGCGAACAAGATGGTAACAGTTCATCAACAACCAGCCACCAACGTCGTCTTTCTCTTTCTTGCAGAAAGGCTGTGCCGGCTGTTGTGTATCATAACCCTCCGGCGGTAGAAGCACCGTCTCTGTGCTTGCGCAACTCGGATGCGGTAGAAGGAGGGTGATAAGGCTTGAGTCTAGCTATGTGCACGATGTCAATCGAAGGTGACGATGATGTTGTTGAATCAGCTGAAACGATCTCGTATGTAACGTCAGTCACCTAATGGCAGTGTGGTCCAGTGTAGCGTGACAGCAGTTTTTCAGAAAGCCCTACACGTCGAGTGGGGAACCAGAGGAGGACAATGGAACCCGGTGAAAAGTGCACGTTTTGATGATGGGACTCGTAGAGCTGTCTTTGGTGCTCCTGTGAGGCCTGCAGGCGGCTGCGGGCGAGTTGGCGTGCGTGGTCGGCTCGCGCGATGGCTTGGCCGGCATACTGTGACCGAGGGCAGCAAAGTGTCAAATGGTTGGGCGTGTTCTCGGCCGCATAGAAGATAGAATCGTGAATAGCCGGCAGTGTCGTGACGTCACGAATTATATGCGAACGTCACAAATTGCAAATGAACGCCCCTGTCTTGGTGGTCGGCCGCTACGTATTTAGAAAGCATGTCGGTTATGGTGCGGTTGAGGCGCTCCGTGAGACCGTTGGTTTGCTGATGGTACGAAGTGGCAAACTTGTGCTTGGCAGAGCAAGAGCGCAGGATTTCATCAACGACAGCTGATAGGAAGGTCCGGCCCCAGTCAGTGAGAAGTTGGCGTGGAGCTCTGTGTACTAAAATAATATCATATACCAGAAAGTCCGCCACATCGGTTGCACAACTCGTCGGAAGTGCTCGTGTGATAGCGTACAGTGTCGCAGAGTCAGTGGCAACAGCGATCCATTTGTTGCCTGAGCTGGAGATCGTGAATGGGCCAAGCAGGTCGAGGCCAACTCGAAAAAAAGGTTCAATAGGAATGTCGATCGGCTAAAGGAATCCAGCTGGTAAGGAAGATGGCTTTTGCGGCGCTGGCAGGGCCCACAAGCGGCGACGTAGCGTGGAACAGAGCGGGCAAGACCAGGCCAAAAGAAACGACGATGTACACGGTCGTATGTGCGAGAGACGCCCAAGTGGCCCGCCAAAGGAGCGTCATGAAGTTGGTTGAGAACAGTCGCATGAAGATTTGCTGGTATGACGGGAAGCAAGTCATGGCCATATGGATCGAGGTTACGGCGATACAGAATCCCGTCTTTTACCAGGAACATTTGTAGAAATGCGTCGCGAGGCATTGACTCAAGCTTGTCAATGATGGTTCGCAGGAAATCATCCCGGCGTTGTTCGTGGCCAAGGTTGAGTAGCTGCGTCACACACAGAAGGTCTGGAAAGGTGTCAGTATGGGCAGCCTCTTCCACAGGGTAGCGTGATAAGCAATCCGCATCTTGATGTGACCGCCCTGTTTTGTACGATACGGTGAACGTGTATTCTTGTAATCGTAGGGACCAACGACCGAGGCGTCCTGTGGGATCCTTGAGTGAGGACAGCCAGCAGAGCGCGTGGTGGTCGGTGACTATATAAAATAGACGCCCGTACAAGTATGGGCGAAACTTGGCGACTGCCCACACAAGAGCGAGACACTCACGCTCCGTGATTGAATAGTTGCGCTCGGCGGTAGATAGCAGTCGGCTTGCATATGCTATAACACGGTCATGTCCGCGTAGGTGTTGCAATAGCATTACCCCGATGCCGTGCCCACTAGCGTCAGTGCAAACCTCGGTTGGAGCTGATGGATCGAAATGAGCTAAAATCGGCGGTGTTGTAAGGAGCGTCGTCAGCTGGGAAAAAGATGAGGCTTGATCAGCGCCCCAGAAAAACGGGGTGTCCTTCTTCAGGAGGTTTGTGAGTGAGCGTGCAATGATGGCGATGTCCTTAACAAACCGTCGAAAGTATAAGCACAAGCCCACAAAACTGCGAACGTCCTTTGTTGACTTCGGAACAAGAAAGTCCGTGACGGCGCGAATTTTCTCAGGATCCGGGCGGACTCCTGGGGCATCGACGATGTGGCCAAGTATGGTTATTTGACCACGAGCAAAGTGGCATTTCGACGAGTTTAGTTGAAGTCCGGCTTGTCGAAAAACTTCAAGAATCGCCGATAAACGCTTGAGATGGGAGTCGAAAGTGGGCGAGAAAACGATAACGTCCTCTAAATAACATAAGCAGGTTGACCATTTAAACCCTTGGAGCAATGAGTTCATCATTCTTTCGAATGTGGCCGGCGCATTACAGAGACCAAAGGGCATAACTTTGAAGTGATAAAGACCGTCAGGAGTGACGAATGCGGTCTTCTCACGGTCCATCTCGTCCACAGCGATTTGCCAATAGCCAGATCGAAGGTCGATAGTGGAAAAATACGTAGCACCGTAAAGGCAGTCTAAGGCATCGTCGATTCTAGGCAACAGGTAAACATCTTTCTTCGTAATTTTGTTGAGATGCTGATAATCTACACAAAAGCGCCTTGTTCCATCCTTCTTTCTGATCAGGACGACAAGAGAAGCTCAGGGGCTACAAGAGGGCTCGATTATGTCTTTTGCAAGCATCTTTATGACTTCTTGTTGTATGACTGTACGCTCGTATGCGGAAACACGGTATGGACATCGGTGAATGGGACTCGCGTCACCAGTATTGATGCGATGAGTAACAACACTCGTTCCGCTTAAAGCTGTGCTGGCGAAGTCGAAAATGTCACTATAGGACTTCAGGACGTGACAAAGGGATTCTGCTTGATCAGGAGCGAGGTCTGATGGTACCATGTGGTCAACGTCGACGCCTGATGAAAGTGATAGAGTGGGTTCATGGTCTGAAGTGCAGCAATCATCCACTCTGAAAGGTTCAACCGTATGTTCTTCTAGAGCAGTAATTTCGGCCAGGGAGATGCCTTATGGAAGAATTTGGGCAGTGAGGGCAAAATTGACAATAGGAAGGCATGTGCAGTTTTCAACGATTGTCAAAATGGTGTGCGGAACAGCGACGCCATGCGTAAGCATCACGGCATGAATTGTTGCCACCATGTAATCGCCGTCAGGTACAGGTGGTGTAGAGAAGAGGTCGATATGTGTGACACAGTTAGGCGGAAGGCGTGCAAAATCAATGCAGCAAAAGTATTCAAATATTCTGTTTTTTATGCACCATTAATGACTGGAATAACTTACCCACATGAACACTGTATTATTTTACTTTGAACTTTGCACGCTTGCGTTGTTTTGTGTTGGCTGCGTTTTTTTTCCAGTTGTATGTTCCAAGCTGTCGAGTTCAGCTTAGAAGATTGTTTTACTTTTGTTAAACCACTGTGTTTTATTTACCCTGTATGGACTTTGTGTCAGCAGTATCTATTAAATAAAATAAATAGGTGTTTGTGGGTTCAAACCTTCCAGACAACTGAAATATGCTTCGTGGGTTCTGATGTTTTCATTTTCAGATATCATTCCATCTAAGATAGTATAAATTTAAGCTTCAGAATTTCTGCCCAACAAAAAAAAAAAAAAAAACCTCTGAATTTGCAAGCGCAGTTTTAATTTTCTTAATCTTTTTTTTTCACAAGTTCCTCGAATGCTTGCACTATTGCAGCTCTAGAAAACCTCTTTCTGCAAAGTTACCGGGACACAGCCACAGAAGCTACCAACGACACACTGGAAGATTCGCTTTGCTCTCTGTATCCTTCAAATTTGTGTTTTTTTTTATAGCCTCTCCTAGCTGCTGTTTGCTACATGTTTACTTCTACCGATTTATTACGATATCGCAACCAGGAATTCACAATGATCGTGGGCTTATCCTCTGTGCGTGTGGACAGTGCATGCTATGAATTGCCTCCTACGTTTTGTTGTGCAAACACTACTTCATGGGGTTTGAGCATTCACTCATTTACGGAGCACTCAAAGGTTTCCTGGTGCAGAGAATACAACATTAGTGCCTACCTTAATCCTCTTTTTCGGGTGTAGTGAAATCTTATGTAGGTAGGCGAGCACCAAAATACAGCTTTGTTCAGCAGGCTTCCTGTCTGACAAGTGCTGGTTTCCCTGATTGATTGATTGATTGATTGATTGATATGTGGGGTTTAACGTCCCAAAACCACCATATGATTATGAGAGACGCCGTAGTGGAGGGCTACGAAAATTTCGACCACCTGGGGTTCTTTAACATGCACCCAAATCTAAGCACAGTATTCCCCAGTGGCGCAATCGGTTAGCGCACGGTACTTATACAAATCTAAGCACATGGGCCTACAACATTTCCGCCTCCATCGGAAATGCAGCCGCCGCAGCCAGGATTCGAACCCGCGACCAGCGGGTCAGCAGCCGAGTACCTTAGCCACTATAGACCATCGCGGCGGGGCCTGGTTTTCCTGAGAATGTGCTCATATCGGTAGTAGGAGAAATGCCTAGGACCATTAAACATGGATTTGAAGCATCAGCAAACTGTTGCCAGTGACACTAAATGAGTCGCAGTGCTCCTCTACTTGCATGAGAATTCACACAATTTCAAACATGTCGAGGATATGGTAGATGTCAAGGTTGTATTCTCAGTGGCTGAAAAACTTTCACTGCTCTGTAAATGAGTGAATGCTCAAACCATGGTTTTAGAATAGTTTAGGTGGAGTGATGGTGTGTTGGAATGAGGAGAAATCTGGACCTCCTTCCTTTTATTGCCGGAAGAAGGCGCGTACGTGATGGTGGCCACCCAGTGCAAACCTAATGCTTCTAACCTTCAGTGTATTAGCGTGTTGACTGATATCACAAGGTCCTGTGAAATTTATGTGGTTTTGTAATATTAATATTATATTTTTAAGTTAGATGTGGACATTTAGTAGTGTTTTATGCATGGTGCAAAAAGAAATTGCGTATCTGGCTGGGATACGATAGGTTGTGCGTTTGTGCTGAGATGTGGTTGCAGTGCTCATATGTATATATTTCTAGCATTTTCACTAATAAAATTTAGGTGAAGTCAGTGCCCCTGTTATGTCATTTCTTATGTCCTCATTTTCTTGTTTTTTTTTACTTTTTTAAGAAGCGCTGTGCAAACATGTCTATTCCAAATTACCAGGTAGCCCAAGCAACTGTTTTGTCACCTGGTGCAAAGGGAGGGTGCGCGGCAGTTCTGGGGGCTGAGCTTCTTTGGTTGTACTCTGATGAACTGGTATTATACAATGCTTTATCAGTCAGCTTTTGGCTTATAAGGCATTCTCATACTACGTGGTGCCATCAAACAAAAACAACCCCCACTGTAGCACAGTGGTTGTGCACTAGAAGTGTGATTCAGAGATTGTGGACAGAGCTAGGAGCTGCGACAAGAATGTTGTTTGCATTCTCTTTCAACTCATAATTACTACTACAGTCCAACTCCTTTGTAAAAGACACTGATGTAAAAGACAAATGGGTTTGAGACATTAGTAGGCCTACATAGAAATAGCAGTAAATGGAAATGTGGCACCCTGCTTGCTTGACTTTGTTATCTGTTGCTTTTAAATGATGGATAGAATGTGCACTTGTAGTGCCCAGCAGCTACTAAACAGATCTCTCGATAGCTTGGTACGTGTGTGTGTTTATTTTGTTGTTCCTTTTTTCTTTCTGCATTTCTTCCTTGATAGTTTGCTTTTAGAACACAGGTTGTGACAAAGTTGGAGCCTGCTTTCAGCAAAGCAGCCGCAGAATCATCGCATGCGTAAGTTGAACGAAATGATGCCAGAACACTGTCTTTTGCAATGCTCCTCTCTGACGTGTAAAATAAAATGTGCTGGCAGCAATCAAGTTTCCTATTGTGTTCACAGTAAGCTCTAAAGCTAGTCCACCCTTGTGCCTGATCAGGCATGTCGGTGATCCGCGAGTAAATTCAAGAAGTGTTGTGTGTTTTGAAAAAGGGTGAAAATGCACGTAACATACAAAGTCGGGCAAAGTAATTCAGAAGATAGAAGCTTCAAGAGATAAGAGAATTCTTGAACCCGGGGTTTTGCTGGAACCAATGATTCGACAAGAGCTACACATACATGCTTACACGTATGCACGCTAAAGTATGGAGTTGCTGACTTGAAGAAGACAAGGCTACTTGTTCAAATAAATGCAGGCGCTACTTGTGTAATATACCTGTGTGTATCATGCAGGCAATGCACACACAGGCATTTCTGTGCAATGGTCGAGTGTCCGTGCCATGTTCCTTTCAATCCTGATGTGGTACATGTTTCCGAAACGTTTGTAAAGCAATTGAGAATTTGCAAAAGAGAAAACATGTCCGGTTATTGAAGAGTAGCCACAAGTGCTTGTTCGGTAATATATGTGGCTCCGGTTTTGACAAGTGCATTGCCTTGTGATCAGGTAGCCTTAATTGTCCACTCGTGAAGTCTTGCGAGATTTTACCCAGCTGCTCACGCTTGCATCGAGCATGTTCCATCAGTGCACGACTTCTGGCCCACTGTCTAACTGTTCTTTTGATTCTTTATTCAGACGCACGGCAGGCCATGGGCATTCAAAATTGTCCAAGTCACTGCCGCAACCTTGCAGCTCCAAGCGTGGGAGCCGCTCTCCGCCTCGTAAGTTGGTTCACTTGCATGTGGCGTTTTGGATATAAAAGCATAAGGTGTTCCAAAACTTGAATCCCAAAGTGCTTAGTGGGATCAGAAGTGAAATGACTGAGTGGCCTTGAGTATCGCTGGTGAGTGGGAAGCTGTGGGTTAGATTCCCAAGTGCAGCGATTGTATTATTCTATGGTAGGGATGAGTTAGTGAAATAAACCTGTCGACTGTGATTTGGATTGACATAAAAAAAGCTGCTGAACAGAGAAAAGGTACTTGAACTCTATTTGTAAATTAGGTTTTTGAAATTCTAATCAAGCCGCTTCAAAAATGAGAGAATGTTTGATTAGCCAAAAAAATTGCAAAAAACAAAATAAACATTGCAGTGCTGCTCACATGCCAGCTTACACTACCAGTATAGATACTAATGGTACCAAATTAATTGAGTTTAAGTGAAGTTTTATTGGTAAATATTGACTACCCTGTAATATGAGAAGAGCCAAAGGCTGAGCTTGGCAAGTTCCACACTGTCACTGTTATAGTACTAAACCAAAGCAGCTGAAAAAGGGGAAAATACTTGGAAGTTCTTGACGTCATGTTCACATTTTTGAATTAAATATACGAGAAGTAGAACATTGATCTCAGTTATGTTTTCTACTGATCGACTGATTAGGCAAAATGAAATAAAATCAAATGGAGCCTACCCACCTGACAAAATTTTTCATCGTTGCCAAAATGATTGAAACTGTCAGGTTGATAATACCATTTGCTGTAAATTTATTACAGAAATCTTGCTTTTGTGTTGTTAATTATTAAAATATAGCTGGCCTCTTTTAGATTCAATCATTAAAGATTTATTGCTAATTTGGATATTTTATAACAATATAATAAACTAATTTCACTTTGTGCATGCTTCAAGTTTTTTGTTTTGCTTTTGTGAATTATTAGCAGATAGCTGGCCATTTTTACCATAAATATTTAACAAGATTTGTTGCTTATTTTGATATTTTATTACAATCAAATAAGCTTACTTGACACTGTGTAGGCTTCAATTGTTTTCTTTTTTCTCAACAATAAACGCTTGTGTTTTAGAAGGAAGATATTTCGTACCAACTTTCATACAAATTCTCATTTTAAGGAAAAACTTCCCCAAAATATCGAAACTGTAAAGAGATTGAAGAACACAAGGAGCTCAAAAATAAACCAGACTTTCACACGAATGCTGCATACCAGTAACTGTAAGTTTATTTAGCCACCTGTAACCATGTAAATCATGCGGTGAAATGTTTTTGGTGCTCGTTTATGTTCTTGTGCACTAGGGAATGTATCGTGATAAGTGGTGTGAAGCCTGCCGACATGGTGTGCCACTGTCCACATGTTTGCTAGGAAGACTTCAAGCATAGAGTTTCCTAAATATACACTAGAGGAAACTCTGGCGCTAGTGCCTATAGGAACTGCAATGCACAGTGCTTCAGCGAGCGTGGGAATGACTGGCAGTACACGGATCTTCGTACTTCTGGCTCCGTGCGTGTTTGTGTGGCTTGGAGCAGTTTTCCCATGAAACAAAAATGAGGGGTGTTCCGCGGTTGCGCTTCACCACCTTATTTTTTTACACTTACCATTTCAAATCGGGTCACGAAGTTCAAAAGGGTTCATTCTCTCCTTCGAAACGAAACCGAAACACAGCAATAAACGAAGCCCCCTGCCCGCAAGTATGAAGACTAGGCCAATCCGTGTACTACCCAACATTCCCATGTCCGCTGAACAATCGCAGCGCCAGAGACCCCTGTAGTTAACTTTAGGGAACTCTGTGACTTCAAGTGGTGAGTGGAGTGGCAGGTGTGGCAACCATTCCCACTGTAAGCCAAAGTAGTGTCCGTGTGCCTCTTGACTCAAGCCATGCGAGATGTTCGAGACGACAGGGACCAATGATGATATTGATGCTATGATATAAAGGTGACAGTGTTATTTCAAGGGTTTCCTGTTACATACTTTTCCCGAAATGCCGAAAGTCTTTCTCGCTTCATAATTTCTTTTTTCTCTCATACGTATGCAGAGTCTCTGACACTTAATACCTTTGATAGTTCAGTATCGTTGTAAAACCTACAACGCAAGTACAATATGATATATCACCTGTGTTGGCAGACCCGTTACTCAGCGTACCTGTGTCCGAGATATTTGTCTCGTGTGTTTGTTGCACAGGCCGCTTCCAGACCAGCTCCAATCTACAAATGTACCTCGAAGAAATAGACAAGGATAACACAATAACCTTAATGAAGTACAAGCCACTCAGGCCTGAGAGGGCAGCGAAGGCATCAGCAGCACTTGGGTCGCCTGTAAGGTGCTCAGCAGCACCTGCGTCTGAGGTGAGTAGTAATAGTAATAATATTATTAACAGTGGCTACCGGTCGTAAGAGAGACAATGCCCTTGCTGTTTAAGAGCTTCATCAGACAACGGGATGTGAACCTAGGCAAATTCATGACGAATAATGAACTTAAATAAGTGTAATAAGGCTTCTACTAAGGGCTTTACAGAATACTGACTTAGATGAGTTTGGATTTGAAATCTATGGCAGTCTTTCAGTATGGGATTGCAAAAAAACAAAAGTGCTGAAATGTTTAAAAAATGTGTTTTCTGTACGTTTAACTACAGAAATATCTACGAGAAAACATAAATGTTTAATGTAAGTTCCACCATTCAACAGCTTGCCAGGCACCCGTTTTGAACACGCATCTTGCCCCACCAGTTTTTATGTTCGCTTTTGTGTTTGTTTTATGTTGTTAAGATTCGTGCACTTAAAGTGAAACATGTAGTGGCCGGTATGGCCTCATGGGATGTCATGGCTGCATAGAGATCTTGGGAGAAGCTCTGTTAGTCTAATTTCTAGCCCTGTTTTAAGTATTCATTTATTTATATATGCTAATTGCTCTCATCACTACTTGTGCTGTTATTGGTTTTTTATGAGCTTTTCTAACTTTGCAGAAGCCAGAGGCATCACCTAGATTTTCGTCCCTGAATGGGTCGCCAATACAGAACACCACCTTCATTAGTGGGATCGAGGTATGACAAGTTTCATCACTAAAATCTTTTTTTTTTTTTTCCAACTGAATAGTAATGGCAACTCGATGCTTCATCTTCCACTTCACTGTCAGCAAAAGTTATAAAATAATGGGGAATTCAGTGTAGACTGCACCAAGATACAAATGCTGCGACAAGCTGTGCCAAATGGCTGCTCTTCGCACTTTTTGCAGCACTCCTGTGCTGGCGCAGGTGAACGTCTTAGTCGACACTAAAAGCTGAAATTGTAATGGTTCCCAAATCGAAACTCGGGTAATTGTCCAAGCGGCCGAGTCAATCTTCAGCGTTTTGTCTTCTTTCAAGGGCAGATTCACATTGGTTTACAGGGAGTGCATCATTAATTTAATTAATAATCCAGGGGAAATTGCCATTTATTGAATGGATTCTCATTGAAAGCATTGCTCTGACTCCTATTGCTGCCTTTTAATGATAAGGCTCTTAGAAAAGCACAGATTACACATGTAAACAAGCGCACGAATCCACTGGCAACGTGCCAAAGATAATAATTTGCCTAAAATAATGACAATATAGCATGCTTGTTTTGATGTCGTTCCGTAGTAATGATGCTCGTGTGGTTGAAACTGTATGCTGCCTAACTTTGCCAACAGATTTGATTGGCAGTCTAAGGTCCTTCCTTTCTCTGTCATTCACAGTTTTGCACTAAAGCACATTGTTTCTAATTGCAGCCTCTTGCAAAGACACCTGAGCTTGCAGAAAAACCAGCTGTACAGGTGACTCTTTTCAGAACTCTCCTCGGCATCAGCTTCAACAGTTTTGTTATCTTTTAAAATGAGATCATGAGGTTTTTAAAATGGCTGCTGCCACTTGGGCTGAAAAACGATTTTGTACTGGTAGTAATACACTTAGTAATAATGAGGTTTAAGTATACTACTACCTGTACAAAATCGTTTTTCAGCCCAAGTGGCAGCAAATTTGAATAGTAATTGGGTGCAAGTTGTAAACTTTAAACAAGTTTGTTATATCTGAGAATTCATTATAAAGGTTATTCTTAACTCTGTATCTATTACAAGACTTTTTTATTTAGTTCGTTATATATAAGCCTATATTTTGTTATAATAAGTGTATTTGCATTCATGAGTGAGGGTGTGGTTCGGTCTGTAATGGAGCAATGCCAGAGATCGCTCCCTGTATTCACACCTGCACTTTTACATTGAAACAAAGTGGGAACCAGTGAAATGCTTGTATTTAGTTATACATTTGGAAAAATTAAGTGGCCTGCTTTGCCATTTCCTAGTTGCTCAGGTGAGATTTGTGAATCTGTGACTACAGAGCCGAACTGCACACTTAATTGTAGAATAGATACAATTGGCAGAAATAGCCCCGAATAGATTGTTTTCATCATCACTTCATCCAAATTACCGCTTAATACCATGACCTATTTAGTGCAACCCGTTCCCCAGGTGGTGCATCGAACATCACCCTGCTGCCATATGAAACACCCATACAGTTATAGTAAATGTCTGTAACTATGTATGATACGTTATTGTGCTCGTCATTGTTGTTGTCTAAGCAGTTAGAGCAGTATCTACCTGCTGTAACTCTTGAATTTTTTATGAGTGTTATTAGATTGAATAGTCATCACCACACAGGTCTGCAGCCTGCACCAGTATGGTTTTTTGTAGTTTTTTTTTGAGGTGGGGTCATTTCTAACCAAAAGTGTTTCTGGGGTAAAGTGTGTGGCAGTTTGCACAGAGCTCCATTTCTTCTGATAAATTTCACCTGTTGCAATCTTACTTCTGTGGTCTCGGTTTTGACAGAATAATCTGTAGTTGCAGAGAATAAGTACTGCACCCAGGATAGAACCATTTAGTGTTGGAGCCTTCCTTTTGTCAGCCTCACATTTGTCCATTTGTCTTCGAACACATTTAATCTCAGCTGAGTGTAAAAAATAGTTCTCAGCTGTGCTTATATTGCTGACATAGATTAGCTTCAAGGATCATACTATTGATTTGTGCAATGAGTTTAAAACTTCCTCTTTCTGCAAAGGACTAACCATGTTTAAAGTCGTGTGATACCATGTCATTTTTTTTTTCTGCAGGTAAAGGCGAGCTGCCTGTTAACACCAAAGGTATGTATAAGTACTTGACTCCATCAGAAAGTCATAGTGTATGTACAATGTGAGATTTTAAACTTCAATATCGTAAATTTCGATGCTTTATGTATGTTGCATAAAAATTTCACTGTTGCTACGTGCAGGCACCCGACTTCGAAGAGCGTCCGATGAAGGTACGTGGCATTCTTATGGCAATGCAGTTTTTGTACGGGCTCAATTACTCCTAACTCAAAAAGTTTAAAATGATAAACTAAGATCTCAGCTTTCTTTTTTATAGTTCAAAGAATGCAAACCAACAACGTAAAAGCATGCATGGCACTGTAGCCTTGTTTCCTCAATCATCTTGTTGATTTCGAGCCACTATACCTTAGCTCCTTGTGCACATCTTCATGGCTACTATGTCACGATGACCAGCATGTAGAAGTGCCAGGACGTGGGATCGTGCTGAGCTCCATAGGATCACCAATGATCTAAGTGTGAGGCACTTGCAATTAAATGCTAGTGAGGTCGCTTTTCGATGGTGAAGAGCGAAGTCATCACCTGTGAGTTTCTCCACTGTGCCATGCTGCACTGCCTTGTACAATCTTTGCAGAGTGCGGTCTTGTGTCATATGTGCTACCTCTGTAGCCGTAAATGGAGGTCTCAACAGGCCTTCTAATAATAGCACGTTCTCTGGTGACCAGGGTTCATTGAGACGTTCAGGTAATGGTAAATGGCTCAATGCATACGCATTTCTGATTGTTCTTGCCATGCCTGTAGTCATGTACCGATAACGTGATGCACCGCCTGGTCATCAGTGGTGAGAGGACTTCACCTCTCTTGGTGCACGGATGGTTCTGTTTTTATTGCAGCTAGTTTGATTACTAATGATTATTTGTAGTCAGACGCTCTCACGTTATTAAAATCATTTCCAAAATGCTCCACTCGTGGTGCACACAATGTGATATATTTAGCTTAATTTCTCAGAAATAAGGCAGTGCTGTTGATAATATTGGCGTTTTAGATTTTGTCTTACATTGAGGTTTTATTCCGAAATAAATTGTTATTTCCCTTTAGTGTCTCTTTAAGCTAGTCAAATGCTTCTTTATGCTTAGTTTCCCATCTCAACGTGGTGTCCTTCTGAAGGAGCTGGTAGAGGCAGCTGCAATTGTTGCTCTGTTCTTCAAGAGTCGGTCGTAGAAACCCAGCATTCCGGAACAACATTGAAGTGCTTGTTTGCAGTGCGGTGCTGGAGCGTCCCTCATGGCTTGAAGTTTTTTTTTCGTTGATGTGGACACCTATGTAGTAGATGTGGTGTCCCACAAGAGGAACTTGTCGTTTTGCAAAACAGCACTTGTTTTTGCCGACGCGAAGGTTGCACTTCCGTATTCTTTTCAGCACTTCTTTCAGTGTCTCCACGTCTGCTGTGCAGTCCTTGCCACTGATGATCACGTCATCTAGATAGTATGCACAAACGCCTGTGATGTCAGAAAAGATAGTCTTGCTGTAATGTTGAAAAACGACTGGAGCTGCAGAGATTCTGAAAGACAGTCGCTTGACTTAGTTAAGCCCTTTCATCGTGTTCAGGGCTAATATCTGTGCTGCCTCCTGCGTTTCGTGAAGCTGATGGTAAGCTTGTACCAAATCCAGGACGCTGATGACTTTGCCTCCCATCAAATTGCTGTTTACTTCATCAGTTGTGAAAAGTGGGTAGTCTACCTTCTTTTATACTTGGATTACTGTGCAATGGTTGTCGCTGCATATTTGCAATTAGCCATTTTTCTTTCAAGCTAGTACCAGAGGTGTTGCCCTATCCGTATGTTGTGTTGACTTGAATATTCGACTTTGCTGTTGATCCAGTTCAGTTTCTACAGCTGACTGCAGTACGAAAGGAACTGGTCTGCATTTAGGACTTTGACTCCGCTCCTTCCACAAGTTCCAGTTGTACCACTGGACCGACAAATCCCGCGATGGCCTCGTCAAACACTGAATGGTATTTGACTAAAAGCTTTGAAACAAGTTTGTCGTTTGGCACGTCATTGATGCCCGTGCTCTTCATGCCCAGATGAAAAAGTCAGTTTCATCCAAGTAGTTTACAACCTGCTCCCTTGACAACAGCAAGCAGTAATGTCAAGGTCTTGTTGCTGTGTGCCACATACACTGTTGCATGTCAAACAACTTGAAGAGACCGTCTTGACCATGTGTGTAGGAGAATGTTAGTCGGAAGCCTTGGTGGGTCATCTGTTTATGTGGCTTTCAATGTGGACCCATAGATGAGTGTACAGGCTGCACCCAAGTCGACTTCAAAATCCAAAGACTAGCCATGTACACGTAGCCAATTCATGATGTTTTGTGTGCTGGACGGGTTGATTAAGGTGTTGAGCTCGTAAAAGGCTGAGTTTGGGGAGTCCTGTTCAGTTGTGACTGGTGCTGAAAGCACTGTCGAAGTTCCTTGTCGGGGATATTTTATGGTATTGCCGTTGTTAATTTTTGCCTCTTTCCGCTATTCAGGCAGGCCTTTTGAATGTGTCCGCATTTCTTGGTCACTTCATTAGACGAGTATTCTGCAGAAGTCCTCGGACGACTGTGTATCGAAATGAGCCTTGAGATTCTGTACTATGTCATCATAGCTCACTTGGTCGGGCTGCTTGCCCTGAACAAGGATGCAGACAATGTGAAAAGTCTGTTTCTCGCACATCGTTAGCAGATGAGCACTTTTCTTGGAAGCATCTGTTGTGTCGTTAGTCTCAAAGAAGAACTGTAGCCTCCCAGACCTGGATCCCCAGGGGCCAGAGTTGCTGCTGAATTCGAGCAGCCGAACGAGTTAGGCATCGCCATGTTGTTTTGTTGATGTCGGTGGAGTTCCAATCAGTCCAGAGTCTTCCTCATTGCCAAGTGTTACATCTGAACAACCACTTGTGGCTGCTGACGATTTATTTAACTGAAAAAAATTGTGAACAAGTCTATGTGCACAGCTCAGACGTTGGAGTCAAAAGTAGTGGGTGCTCAACGGAAAGCTTGCGCTTGTGCCGTAGCACCAATGCATTTGTGTGCCTACTTTATCATTGTCATTTTCTAAGGCAACGTGTCTTATATATTTCACACCATGTGGGAGGTTTTTGAAAGCTGCTATGTTTAATGCTCTGATAGTTTCTAGTTCAATAACCGTGATGACTACAATGTTAAGCTGTTGCTGTGGTTGCTCTGCAAACTGCACAGAGCTCCATTTCGTCTGATAACTTTCATCCGTTGCAGCCTTATTTCTGTGGTCTCAATTTTGACAGAATAATCTGTAGTTGCAGAGAATAAGTACTGCACCCAGGATAGAACCATTCAGTGTTGAAGCCTTCCTTTCTTTTGTCAGCCTCACATTTGTCCATTTGTCTTCGAACACGTTAAATCTCAGCTGAGTGTAAAAAATAGTTCTCAGCTGTGCATATATTGCTGACATAGATTAGCTTCAAGGATCATACTATTGATTTGTGCAATGAGTTTAAAGCTTCCTCTTTCTGCAAAAGGACTAACCATGTTTAAAGTCGTGTGATACCATGTCATTTTTTTTTTCTGCAGTTAAAGGCGAGCTGCCCGTTAACACCAAAGGTATGCATAAGTACTCGACTCCATTAGAAAGTCATAGTGTATGTACAATGTGAGATTTTAAACTTCAATATCATAAATTTTGATGCTTTATGTATGTTGCATAAAATTTCACTGTTGCTACGTACAGGCACCCGACTTCGAAGAGCGTCCAATGAAGGTACGTGGCATTCTTATAGCAATGCAGTTTTTGTACGAGCCCAATTTCTCGTAACTCAAAAAGACTTGAAATGATAGACTAAGATTTCAACTTTCTTTTTTATAGTTCAAGGAATGCAAACCCACAACGTAAAAGCATTCATGGCACTGTAGCGTTGTTTCCTCAATCATTTTGTTGATTTCGGGCCACTATACTTTAGCTCCTTGTGCACATATTCATGGCTACCATGTCACAATGATCAGCATGTAGAATAGCCAGGACGTGGGATCGTGCTGAGCTCCATAGGATCACCAATGTTCTAAGTGTGAGGCACTTGCAATTAAATGCTAGTGAGGTCGCTTTTCGATGGTGAAGAGCGAACTCATCACCTGTGAGTTTCTCCACTGTGCCATGCTGCACTGCCTTGTACAACCAGGGTGCTGTCTTGTGTCATACGTGCTATCTCTGTAGCCGTAAACGAGGTCTCAACAGGCCTTCTAGTAATAGCAGGTTGCCTGGTGACCACGGTTCATTGAGGCGTTCAGGTAATGGTAAACGGCTCATCGCGTCTGTGTTCTGATTGTTCTTGCCATGCCTGTAGCCATGTGCCGATAACTTGATGCACCGTCTGTTCATTCGTGGTGAGAGGACTTGGGCCATTGGCTTCTGTGGACCCAGTGTGCAGAGTGGTTGATGGTCAGTCACGAATTTCGCCCTTCTGCTTGTGTAGCTTGTGGGCTGTAAGCAATACCGCAAGGCCTTCTCTGTCCAATTAGCCATAATTAGGTTCCGCCTACCCTTGTATACGAGATGCAAAAGTGTTTCGCACCTCTCTGTTCTGGCCATTACGTTGGGATAGAATAGCTCCTATGCTGTATGGTCAAGCATCGCACGAGATGAGAAGGTCTTTCTGTTTGTTTTAGTGTGCCAGTACAGTCGTAAAAGCAATCACTTAAAGGGACACTAAAGGGAATTATTGAGTCGACGTTGATTGCTGAAATAGCAGTCCCGAAACCTCATGGTGCTACTTTTGTGCGAAGAAAGGGCTTATATTGAAATAAAACTGATTTAGTGGTCCGCATCATGTTAGCACACTTCAAATCACCCACCTGAATGCGGTTTTTCTGACAACACTGTCGGCATGCCCATTGTTGCCTGCCTATACTGTGCGGCTGTCGACACTTGTAGCAGCAAAGTGAAAGTAGCGGGAGCAACAGCAATTTCTACTTGAACAATTGAACAATTTTCTATTTGGCTTGTTTGACTGGGCTCCACTGAGTCTCACCTGAGTCGACTTCAAGCCCTAAGAACTTGCCATATACACGTAGCCAAGTCATAACATCTGCGCGCGGACACATCGAGGTGTAGCCAAGTCATAACATCTGCGCGCGGACACATCGAGGTGTTGAACTTGTGAAAGGCTGAGTTTGGGGAGTCCTGTTGAGTTGTTACTGGTGTTGAAATCACTGTCAAAGTTCGTCATTGAAGATGCTCTACCCTTTTTCCAATATCCGGGCAGGCTTTTTCAATTCGTCCGCATTTATTGGTCACTTCATTGAAAGAGTGCATTGCAGAAGTTTCGGGCGACCATGGATCTAAATGAGCCTTGAGCATTTCTACTAAGCCATCATAGCTCACTTGGTTGGGCTGCTTGGGCTGAAGAAGGGTGCAGATGATGTTAAAAGTCTGTTCCTCGCACAGGGTTAGCAGATGAGCACGCTTCTTGGAAGCATTCTTTGTGTCGTTAGTCTTGAAGAAGCACTGTAGCCTCCCATACCAGGAGCCAGAGTTGCTGCTAAATTAGAGTAGTCGAACGAGTTAGGCATCGCCATGTTGTTTTGTTGATGTCGGTGGAGTTCCAATGAGTCCAGAGTCTTCTTCATTGCCAAGTGTTACATATGAACAGACTTTTGTGGCTGCTGATGGTTTATTTCACTGAAAAAAAAAAGTGAACAAGTTTACATGCGCGGCTCAGACGTTAGAGTCCCATGTAGTCAGCGTTTGATGAAAATATTGCGCTTGTGCCGTAGCACTAATGCGCTAGTCTGGCAACTTAATTGTTGTCGTCCTCTAAGGCAACATGTCTCGTGTATTTCACATCATGTGGGAGGTTGTTCAAACTGCATACCACTGCTTTTCTTAATGCTCTTAGAGTTTTTAGTTCAATAACCATGATGGCTACAATGTTAGGCTGTTGCTGGGGTTGCATTAAAACTGCACAGAGCTCCATTACTTCTGATATTCATCCGAAGCAGCCTTACTTCTGTTGTGTTAGTTTTGGCAGAATAATCTGTAGTGTCAGGGAATAAGTACTGCACACAGGGTATATCATGTTTGTTGGAGCCTTCTTTTTTTTCTTTGTTGGCTTCACATTTGTCTTTGAACACATTTAATCTCATCTGAGGGTAAAAAATTCTTCAGGTGCCCAGCTGTGCTCCGTTTACAGATATTGCTGACCTAAATTGCTTCAAGGACCTCTCTACTAAATTGTTTGTGAGTTTTAAAACTTCCGCTTTCTCCAGACGCCATACCCTCCAATTCATGTTACACCATCTCATTATTGTTTTATGCAGTTCAAGGAACGCTGCCCATCAACTCCAAAGGTAAGTACATGTAAGGAGATGACTCCATCAGAAAGCTTTAGTGTATGTGCTATGGTAGATTTTAATCTTCTATATCACAAATTTCGATAATTTATGTATGCTGCTTTTAAAATTTCACTGCTGCTGTTTGCAGGCACCCGACTCTGAAGAGTGTGCGATGAAGGTACGCGGCATTCTTATGGCAATGCAGTTTTTGTGCAGGCATCAGTATGCTTTGTTCAATCACTCGTAACTCAAGAAGACTTGCAATGGTAAACTAACATCTTAACTTTCTTTTTTATAGGTCAAGGTACACGAGCCCCGGGCACCAAAAGTATGAAACTTTTTTTTAATTTTCCACTTGTGGATAGCTCAATATAGCAAGACACACAACACAACCAAGAACAATAAAAAATGACGATGATGTAATTATGCCAGCACGAGCCATTATCGGAAGAGCATCTGTAAACATCAAAAGCTAAGCTTGTGGGAATGTTACAGTATTAAATTTGCTTTGATTTGAATTTCAATTATTGATAATTTTGTTTAAATGAACAAACTGGTGTACATTAGTATGCATGCGACCTCCTAGAAGGTGGTTTCACTGCAGGGGAGGAAGCTATGCCGTGAAAGCAGCTATTCAATTGTGTATCTCCATGCATAATTCTGCCTCATGACCTTGAGCACTCTCTCTCTTTTTTTTTTTCGACTGCGCAGCTTTTCAGCACAATCCTGCGTGCATTCATGGACAGGTCTCGCCTTCTGTGGCGGCTTTTGTAACGATGAAGTGCACCATGGTCAAATTAGCCAGTGGTTGATACTTGGCCTGTGGCGCAGTAATTTTTGAGTCTGTAGTGCCATTCGTCAACAAAATATAAAGTGGTTTCTAGCTGATTTTGAGAATTTATTGTTTATTCCTGGCCGCTATGAAATTTGGCTCACGCATTCTCAATAGCCTCGACTACCGATCAGCGGTATTTTCTGATATGCCCAAGATGTGTTGCGGAGCCCCTTTAAAGAGGCCGTTGTTTTTGGAAGCTTCTGGAGAAGTTTACAACGTTAATAAACGCAGCAATATTTAATGCACATTACCCTTGTCGTGTTTACCGCTGTTTTCACAGCACTTCGTGTCATTTTACGAAAATATTATTGCTTGACCACACCAAGTAGACCTTCATATCTTTTTTTCCTTCTTGCAGACACCAGAGCTCATGGATTACCCGACACCAGTAAAGAAGGTAGCCTAATCAACATATCTCTGCTTGTATTTTACAGCGAAAGCTGTTAGGATATCACAACAGGGGTCTCGCACAGCGCCGTAGTTGTCCGCCGCCAATGTCCGTAACCACATCGCGCGAAATTAAAAAAAAAAAAAAAAACTAGTACCAATGGCACATTGAGGCTCGAACCCGGGTTCGCTGGGTGCCAGCCCAGTATTCTACTACTGAGCCACACCGGTGCTTGGGACTTGTTGGCAAACACACCTTAAGCAGGCCTGGTGTCGGGAAAGCAATCGCGTTAATATGACTTATAAAGCGTTTTAAAACAGGGAAAGAACAAGTAGTCGTTGCACAATGCGAATAGTGTAACGAGTGGGTCGTCCAATGCTCCGACTCATTACAAAAGTTTGTTCTTGTTCCCCTATTAACTGTGGCACATACCCACTTCAGCCATAATTCCTCATCGTCGTCGGCCACTGCATGAACAATTGGCACAGAATTTCTCAGAATGGTTTAGCGGATACCACGCTTCTCAGAAGAATGACGAAAAATAGCATAGTGAGTGCCGGCCTACTACCCTAAAATGTTTATTATGAATGCCATAGTAGGCATGAAGCAAGTGTGTTTGCAGCAGTTACCCAATGAATGTTTAGAAAATGCTCTGAAAGGTTGCTCTTCTAGCTTTTGCTGTGACTGTGCTTACCTTCTGCACAGGCCTGGCATTTATAATTTGGTTAAGACACCACCCATAAACTGGTGTAAAACTTAAGAAGAAAAAATGTGTGTTAAAATGAAGTGTTGGAGAAATTTCAGTAATGTAATATATTTGAGCTAACTAGAATAGCATTTTCATTATTCTAGTACACTCACACTTTGTTAAACGAACCCGGATAAAGCAAAGTTAATGAAAAATAATCATGCAATAGACATAGTTTTAAGAATATACATTCATAACGAATTTTCAGATATAACAAAATTATTTTTGTATTATATGCAACTTTGTTATGAGGTTTGAGTGTAGTTGAGCCACTGTAACAGGTTGACATTTCAGTGCCAGGTTTTGTTTGTAGAGGCAGTTTGCTTTCAGGAGCTTCTACAGTAGTTTGACAACATTCATTAATGCAGCAATATTTAATTCAGGCTGCCCATGCTGTGAAGTGTGCCACTTTAATTCTCACAGCACTTCGTGTCATTTTCCAAAAACATTCTTGCTTCAGCCGAACGAGTACACCTTCACATCTTTTTCCTGCTTGCAGATACCAGAGCTCATGGAAAGACCGACACCGGAGCTAAAGGTAATGTACTCTTCATATCAACGCTTTCCACACTAGGGATTCAGACAACGGGTATAAAATATTTTATTTTGAAGTTTTTGTCATTGGGCATCTGCAAGCCAGCTTCACTGCAATGGACACAATCCCGACGACTCAAGACAATTTCTGAGTTTGCGAACTCTGCGTCTTGCACGCAGCCTAAAATGCAGAGATCGCTGTCAGTGTCACTAAATGATGATTCACTCATTTACGTGGAGCATGAGCAGATGACAGCCTTTCGTTAGTACGTTGCCAGCCGACGTCTTCCCATGACGTCGCACTGCTATGATGCATAACTGGGAATGCGCCTTGTCTATATCGAAACCAAAATTGTTTTCATAACATAGGTGTGATAAAATACGTTTGATGCATTCCCAGGTACCACAATGCTTGTTTTAGGTTTCTCAACACAAGTACTTTTATTTAGGGCAGCAATCTGAGATTTCATGTCACTACTTCATAACGAACTTTGAAGAGCAACAATGTGTTGATTACATTGATAGACTGCAGCCTGAGAAATCTAATTCCATAAGTTTCACTGTCATAAGTTAATTATTAGCAGGGAAAATCAAGATTGAAGTACGATATTTAAATTTCATGCCGAAATTTCTATGCATGATGCAACAAATTGTAAAACACATTTTTTTTGTATTTTCGTGACATTAATGCGATAACATTTTCTGAAACTTCGTATGCTGGGCCTATGGTATCCACACATGCCAATGTATTTTTAGAAGCTATGCAGGACCCATAGACACCTTCAAAATTTAGTACGCAACGGTGTTTGGTGTGGCAATCTCACTGTGGCGTCTCCACCCGCATTTTCTTTTTGCACATTTTTATTTTCAAGCATTATGTCGCTGTAAGGGAGTTTTTTTTTTTTTTTTTTTTGAGTGTGAAGTTATACTCTACGAATACTCGAAAATTGTCTTGCTCGTTCGTGTCCCTTTAAAGGGCTAGTAAATAACCCCAAGGTCCAAAAATTGTAATAAATGGAAATATACGCACTTTTGCTATGTGAACATTCTGCCACAAGAATCTTGCGAATACGTCCTATAAGGAAGTTTTACTGGTGTTAGAACAACCTTTCCAGCTGGTTTCAAAGCCTCGAGCAGCTTTGTCACTCTCCTCTGCCATAGGGAGGGGAAGGCGAAGCGCACCGTTACTACTCTGCCCACTTCGGCAACGTGACGCGACGTCAGCAATTGACGTCACCGGGGAGCTCAATCAGTCGCAATGCGCTTCCGCTTGCTGCGACTCCTGGTCGCATGCTATTTTCTTTGTCACACGTGCTCCTGATGGATCCAATGCTGCGCGTGCGCCTTGAAAGGTTCATGCAGGGGAGAGAGAGAGGGGTTGGTGGAAAGAGGATAAAAAAGATCCCTACGGTGAGACGCCTTGTCATGCACAGCCGAAGGTGACGACCCGTCATGCAGGTGCAGTGCGTGCAGCTGCTATGCTGCTTGAGGAATATGCGCACGAGAACTGCGTGGCCCGAACCGCATCACCGTGAGGCCAAGAAACAAATGCAGTGTTTGTAGTGGTGGGTGGGAAAAGGGACTGACATTAACTGGACAACTGTTTGTTGAGGCCTGGTTTAGACAAATAAATGAGCTCAGTGGTACTTAAAGTTGCCCATGGGCGAGATTTCCTCGCTGCACGAACAAGGGTTTGTCAGGCAAAGTAAAGAGGTGCTGTAACATTCAGGAAAAAATGTCTGCGCCTGTTTACTGGTCCTTTAAGAATCTGCGCTAAAATGTTAGTGATACGTATTTCACTCTGTAGAATGTCTCTGAGCTGACTAAGATAGCTTTGTCATCCTCAAATGTTTCGAGGGGGTATGCGGAGCATGGTATAAATCTCCGCCAAGCGTCTCGATTCATCTCCGTACTTTCTTCGGCAGCTCACAACCGGATTCATGAATTTACGACGTACAGTTCATAGTTCATGCGCTTGTACGGCGCAATAGCGTTGTACTTTTAGCTAGTGTATGCCTCACTGGCCTCACTCAGTTCTGACTGTGCCATATTGAATTAGCAGCTATGCTTGGCCTCTTGATTGTGGTGCAATCACTGTCAAATCAGGAAGTGTACATGACAAATTTGCACTCAAGAATCTGTTCGGGTTTGTGGCATAGTTGCCAGGTAGTCTGGTTTGTGAATTCGGTTTCAATTCTCACGTCGGGCAACACCAAAATATGTACCGCTCCTTGAAATCTTTGAACTTGAAAAAAGCATTTTCAAGGTGCTTGAAAGTCCCTGAATTTTTCCCCGTCCTTCAAAATCTTTGAATTTCTTTAGCAGTGCCCTCTCATATTGACATTGCGACCTCACTAATGTGGCAGACCAGCAAGTTGACAGGAAAAGGTCCCCATTTGAAAAGGAGTAATGCGGCGCAAGCCCACATGGTTCGATTTTGCAGAGCTACTCTGAAGCTTCGTTATAAGGGCGGAGCATTCAATGCAATAGCAAGAAATTAGAACGTCACATGAAAAATGGCAAGCAATATGATACATTCAGTGAGCGTTCCTCTCAAGGAATGCACGAAAAGAACACACACTTGCAGCGCACTGCTTAAGCACATAGAAGGACGTTTGTGATATCGAAACGTCCTTTGAGTCGTTGTGCAGGACGCCAACACCACATCTATGCCAACTAACGGCTCAAACGCTCAGTTTAAGCAGCATGAACGTATTACGAAGGAATGAAGTCCAGTGCCTGCTGAAAAGAAGTGCTAACTGATCCGACCAAGCTTGTTGCTCTGCAACATTCATGCTTTATTTTCACGATGTCGCTGCCATCAGGTCTGACACGGCCAGACCTGCAGTGAAGGCAAAATTTGTGCCCGCCTAGCTTTCCAGCCTCTCAGGCACAGTGCTATGGGCTTCCCTGATGGCTTTGTAAATTTTCTTTCCCAACTACATTGAAAAAACTCAAGCACGTATTGAGAGTCTCTTGCTTGTAGAATTCGAAAGCAAGGTGGTTGCCGTGTGGCAGGTGCAGACCTGCAAAATGGTGACTCTGTTACTAGCGCTCCTTGCAGATGACATTAAGCACGTGAATCCTATATATTTATTTATCTTTGTATAAGTAAAATAGAATAATGCTAAATGTCCTGAATATGTTTGGTGAACATCACCAAGCTGGACGAATCTTCACTGCTGTTGTAAGAGGTCATTATGTATTGTGAGGTTTTTTCATACTGTTTAAGACTTGCCAAGTGATCCAGGCTAATCATGGTGATATACATTTACTTATCTTAATACAGCCAAACCCCTATATAAGAGACAAACGGGTATAAGATACACCAGTGCACCCACAGTAATATACGGGTTCCTAAGAAAACACATACGAGGTACCCTGCTTATAAGAGTCATCTCATATAAAAGACAAGAACTGCTGCCCGGAGCATGCCTCTTATAAAGGGATTCAACTGTATAAGTTGAATAACTGTAATGCATGCTCTGAATATAGTGGGTGAACTTCAAGCCTGTAATGGAGAAATACCAACCACTTTTGTAAACATTCATTCTGGTGATGTTGAGAAGTTATCAAGATCTTGTGTTTTCTTATAATTGTGACGTCCCTTTATTTATGGAAAGGGCAAAACATTGGTCATTTTTTTCTTTTAGAGTAAAAAAATTTACGTTTTAGTGCCACTTTATGTCCTTGAAAAACCTGCAGCATGTCTTGAAAAGACCTTAAATATCCTCGTTTTTTTTTTCTTGGAAAACCTGTACGACCCTGGTAACACAGTGAATATTTCCTCTGAATTTCGGCATTACCCACCTGTGTACATTTGTATGATGTCGCATCTGTGACTGCAGTAATATGCCTCTATTCTTGCTGGAACTTGCCACGAAAAACTTTTCGCGTTAAAACTTGGAGAATGCTTAAAGGGGTGCTGCCACACTTTTTCAAGTTACTACTATGTGGCTTCACTAAAGGAGTTAATTGTCTCAAGAATCGAACGCCGCAAAGTTTTTTAGAATTTGTCATGTAGGAGTGGAGTTGGAAATTTTTCACACACTGTAATTGCTTTCTCTCTTCTCTCATACCGATGAATGCGCTGGAAGCTAAGCACGAAAAGATGGCATGGCAGAAAGAAGTCACGTTATGCATGTGTCACCACCTTGAGCACTTTATTCAAATGCACGGCTAATTGTCAGTGAGATTACAAGTGCTTGGGCAGAGTAACCATTCAGCCAACTATGCTCAAATCAGCCAATGGCTGTGAATTTGCGTATACAGCAGTCATTTGAGTATATGGCATCACTTGTAGCGAGAAGACGAAGCTGTTCTTTTCCAAACTTTGTAAATTCTAGGCAGCCTGCCATGCTATAATGTTTGGCTCACGTGTTCTCGGGAACCTCGACTAACGATTGAGGCCTTCAGAATTGCTTGCGTTCTTCGGTGCACCCCTCAACATTGCCGTGAGGGAAGGAACCTCTATGCACGTTATAACTCTCGCAGTGCCCCTACTGCAGCTAAGGTTACCTAGTACCAACTACATCATAATTCACCACTTTGTGAACTAGTGTACTATCGGCGTCAAATGAAACCCGAACAGTGGAGCGCGTGTTTCAAGCATTATAAACAGTATAGTGTTGGCCATCCAGTCATTACCATTGACAGGCATGCACATCCGGTTTGGCAGCACTGCGTGATCCACCTAGAGTGCGTTATCTCCGTTCTTGTTCTAGTTTTTGTATGGGGACAAAGGTGGAAATCGTGGGCGTGCCAAGCGCCTTTGATCGTATCACTCGCAATTTTTTGCTTTTACTTCAGCGTCGCAGTGCAGACGGTGTCTTGGCACGATAAAACATAAAGAGAAATATAAGCAGTTTGCAGTTGATTATCAAATGACTGTTGTATCTCATTCACCAGCGCTGCTTCACCTACACGCTTCTTTCAGAAAACGAACCGAAAAGGCTTTATTTTAACTGGAAATGTCAAGTGTTTCCTCGAAAAAGCGCGCGCAAATTGTTTCGCTTTACCGGAACAAAGTGAAACAGCGTGCAATTGCCAGCATGAAAAACAGACCTTTGTCTACTATAAATAGAATTTTCCAGGCCTTCCGTGATGATTGACTCCGTGATGACAAACCGTGCTACAATACTCGCCTTCGGCTGCAGTAGTTTGACCTCTGTATTTTTTAAATTTTGCTCCTTTCGAATACCATTCCGGGAACACAAGCAGAAATATTGCAGTATAGAGGGAATGTGCAGTGCTGCCACACTGGATGTGCGGGCCTTTCTGTGTCAATGACTGGTGGACGGTGCGCACTATGCCATTGATAAGGCTTGTGCCACGTGCTCCGCTGTTCGCGTTTCATTTGATGCTGATAGTACCTACTATGCGTCTGTAAGGTAATGTGTGCACCTAAGTAGGTGTATACTGTTGATATGGCTGCCGATGATGAGTTATGGCTGAGCCCCTTTATTGCGGGTGGGAAGCCTTAAACCGCCCCCCTAAATGCAGTAAGCTTGCTTATTTAAAGCTATAGTGAAATAGCATTGCAGTGAAGCTGACACTCCGAGTTCTCATTCATGGCTTCAATTCTTCATCTTTATTGGTGCACACTGCGTCAGTTTGTTGCTGTTCCAAAAGAGCGCATAGTCACATTGCTGATAATCGATGTGATCAGTGTTCTCGATAAGTACTGAGCCTATCCTTCGCGTTGCTCCTTCGCAGAGCTTCTTGACAACTGTTCAGTATGGCAAGAGGGGTTACACTGAACACTATGAAAGTGCCTACAACAGAGAATTTTTGCTCTTAGATCAGTACATGTGTTCACTGTTCAGCTGCGCTTTTAATTTCATGGTCTACAAATTACACACGCTAGATGAATACGACACGCAGTGCCCGTTGCTTCTAGACCGTAGAGTTTCCTTCAGAGCTTTCGTCCGCCGTCACTAAGCAGGACCACGGGGCGATTTTTTTTTTCTCACGACATTGGAAGGACCATGCATCCGAGCAGTCCCTTGCCGTGCCACTGTTTGGGCGTCAGCACGAGAGACACGGAATCGGCGTTGCGTTTAACGACCACGTTGACGGGCCTGCCCACACTGTGCTGCACGACGGAGGCGATGTCAGTCACGTCCTTGAAGTTTCCCGCGTTGACGGAGCCGAACTTGACGATCTTGTCGCCGGCGTATAGGCCCGCCACGTCGGCGGGCGAGCCGTTCTCGACCTTAGCGACGACCGCGAACGGTAGCGACGGCGTCGCGGCGTTCTCGTGGTGCGCCGCAGACGACGTCGCCGGGCCCCCGCCGTTCTCGGAGGCGGCGTTTCGCGACATCTGAGCGTGGTAGTTGTGCAGGCTCTTCTCGATGTCCTTCATGATCGCCTTGTGATCGTTCAGGAGGCATATGATGCGGTGACGCGCGTGACGCACCTTGTAGACGTCGATGTCGGAGCGCGGGTAGCCTTCGTTGTCGACCAGGGGTTCGTCCATGCCAACCGAGTTGGCGTTCAGTATCTCCTGCTGCGCGCCGATGGCGGCCTCGATTTCCAGCTTGCGCAGCGTCAGGCGCGACAATATTTGCTTGTGGTCGATCATGGCTGGCGGCTCTTTCGGGTGAAACGTGGAAGAGACGAAGAAATTCGACCTAGGCCGACGGTATCTGCTGCATCACGCTTAGCACGCTGCTCGCGCAAAGTGTGATGGTCGCCATAGTGCGATGTCCATGTCGATGGGATTTTGTTAGCTAAAGCTTGTGTCTGAAATAATGCCGCTGCTGCTGCTTACGGTTTCGTTTTTAGCGTGTCGGTTTGACATTTTTATTGTGCTAGTCTATGTCGCATATGTGGCCACATGTTCGCGCAAAATATTGATACTTGCAGATTATTGTAACAATCTATGAGCCCGCACATTTGTTTTGCTGTTGTGGTAAACAAATTTTTACTTGCCATTTCAGGAGAACATTGGTTTCCCGTGGTGAAAGTTTCCAGAATAAACAGTTCTGTACAACTGGTCCTTAAGTGTGTTGCTTTTGTAGTCTTCCATGCATATGTCACCAGCAGCTCTTTTCTCTCTTCTTGCTACAGGGGGGGGGGGGGGGGGGGGTTTGGTTGTATAAACTGCTTCATTTATTTAATGCAACACTTTTAACCTCTTCAGAATTGAATTTGTTTACAAACGAACAGTACTATGCTCTCTCACAATAATAGAGCAATCTTGACATATAAAAAATGCATGCTTCCATTTACTTTTAACCTCTTCAGAATTGAATTTGTTTACAAACGAACAGTACTATGCTCTCTCACAATAATAGAGCAATCTTGACATATAAAAAATGCATGCTTCCATTTAGTTAAAAAAAAAGTTCGAATAGACATGCCAAAAACACCACCAATTCTACAAACGGGGAAAAAAACAGTTCAAATAGGCGTGCCAAAAATACCACCAATATTACGCACATTCTCGTGTAATTCATTCAGACATTCTATTTCCTGACATAGCTGTCGTACTTCCCGACAGGAGTTGTAGCCTTGAGCACAAAATTAGTTACACAAAATTAGAGAAGTTGTCAACCTAGCATTATTCATCAGAGTACCAGCTAATGGCTTCAACGTACCTGTATGGTAAACAATGCCACAATGATTATAAACACTTTCTTGCAATCTGGCAATTGATACAATATTTCTGCAACATTAACTGATTGCAAAGGCAGCGTGTGAAATGATTCACATCATCTTGAGGCTTCAGCTTCCACTAAGAAGAATTCCTGGCCTCTTGTTTGAAGTTCTGTTTTCATCCTGAAACCATACACCACCTCCCAAGAAATAAATTTCTTGAGGTTCTTTATCTGCCAAACGAGTTTCAAATTGAGCACTTATCCAGGGATATGAGCGATTTCCTACTTGATGCAGCATTTCATTTATTGAAGAGGTTTCATATGAGGCAACACTAAACGCCATGTTTATAAAATGACTGCTAATTAGCAAATAATCTGCAATAAAAGGTTGATTAGCTACACCTGGTATACCAGATATGCAGGTTCTTTTTCCTTTTTGTTTAATACAGTAGTGGCCTTTGTTGCTTTGTGGCTCTTGCACATAGGTTGTAGGGCATGTCTTCGAATGAAAAATGCGAAAAATTCTAACTTGAAATTCTATGCATGCTCTCAACTGCCAGTGTTGCCTGTAAGTTTAGTGCATGCCAGAAAAGTTTATTTTTACATAGCAAACAAGAACAATGGTGTAATAAAAGAAAAATTTTGTTAATAGCCAAACTCCTAATGTCACGCTTTCACTTCATCAGGTTCATCAAGTTCTTCCAGGTCCAAATCCTCCAGTTCTTGAAACAGCGACTCGTCCACTTTGACATCTTCCTCCCCTGGAAAGAGAATGCGAGTCACATGATAGTAACAATTGATAACCATGATACGATTTTGAAAGACTCTATAGTGGAGGGCTCTAGAAATTTCGACTATATCGGGTTCTTCAACATGCACGAAAATGCACGCGAGCCTCGAGCATTTTCACTTTCATCGAAAATGAGTCTTTTTCGCCCCACAAAATCAGCCAGAATGCATGGGTTGACTACACTACGCAGCTTTCTTCTTGTTCTCCATTCACCTGATCAAAATATATGGATGCTATGACAGATGCCGTAATTATAGTTGTGGTAAACTGCTCCTGATATATTTGGACATTCTGGGCTTTTTCAATGCGTGTTAAAATTTTACGTATGCAAGTGCTCATGCGGTCCATTTCTGCCTTCGCAGAAATGCAGATTTTCTAATGCTAAAGACAACGGCTTTGCCAGAATGTGACGAGACAGTAGTGCAGTTGGCGTGCTTGATGTGGTACGAGTTACATTTGCATTCATACATTAGCACCAATTACTACATGAATTGGCCTCCCTTGGGCCGCAACCAGTCGTAGCTTGCAGAATAATAGCAGAACACAGTGGTTGGAGCACAATGACCCATTTTTTGCTGTGCCCTAATATTTACCCACAAAACAATACCAATTATAATAATAATAATTGTTGGAGTTTAACGTCCCAAAACCACTAAATGACTATGACAAACGCTGTAGTGGAGGGCTCCGGAAATTTCAACCACCTGGTGTTCTTTAAAGTGCGTCTAAATTCAAGCACACGGGCCTCAAGCATTTTCACTTCCTTCGAAAACGCGGCCGAGATTGCATCCCGCGACCTGCGGGTCAACAGCAGAGTGCCTTCGCCACTGGATCATTGTGGCGGCCTACACAAATTACACCAGGCATTCAAAATTAATTCCGGGCTCTTTACAAAATCAGGGTGCTGTTTTGGCACCAATGTGCAGGATTAAAAATAAAGTCTGCATAGTCTCAAGATCACTCACCTTCTTGCATGAATTGGAGATCAGAGTCAATGAGGTTCTTGTCTTTCTCAAAGAGTTCTCTCCCTGTGAGTTTGCCGGATGCGTTCAGTATCTTGTCCCTGTTCCTGATCTCTGCCATCTCGGCGTCAAATTTGCTCTTCCAAGCCAAGAAGCTCTCCACCGTAACTCTGGTGCCTTCAAACTTGACCTGTAGGAGTAAGCAAAATTAAGAAGATAACCAAATTAAGGTCTTCTTTTTTTTAGTTGTTCATATTACATATTATAGCAGTACGGGGTGTGGTGCCCTTATGGACAACAAGAAAAAAAAAAGAAAATTTTTACTTTAAAGCAAGAAAAATGCTGCGTCAGTTTAGAAAAGCAGCAATTCCTTGCCTCCCCCTCACTCACAAGGTTTTCACAGGGCGGTGCTGTCTCCTGCACAACAACTGAGGAACGGATTCTCTCGGCAAGACACTAACATATCTAGCATCGTCAAAACAGCTGCACAAGGAAAGCGTCACATTGCCCACGACTTATCACCATAGGTCAACAAAAAAAAAAGTTACGTTCACTCAGACTTGTTCAGGGAATATACGTTAAGCTTTGAACTCATTCGGACTAGGACTCGCCAAAATTTTATTGAGCAGGACTCGCACTCGCGATAGTTTTCTTCAACCAAGCTCACTCGGGCTCAAATACCAATGTATATTACTCGCTTGGACTCCAGCAATGTGTGACTCGATCCACGGCACAGTCTTAGTGAGTACGAATGAGTTGAGTCATGAATGAGTTTGCTGACCTATGTATCACTAACAAACATACTGGGAAAACATGTGAAAAACAATGTGCTTGTATTCATTGTGTGATTCTGTGCCAGCGATTACTATACAGGAGAAACAGCATGGAAAAGAGAGGTAATGTGATCCCTCGTTATTTTTCATTTATTGTGCCTCACCGATGTGGACGCACATGCTCACACATACACAAAATCCCTAGCTTGGGTGTTTTTAAGCTGTACACTTGTTCTATACGAAACCTTCCTTTGCTGACAACACATATGGGCTTGCTGTACCCTTGAATAGTTGCAATGGATGAAAATAAAACTGAGCCGATGCTTCAATGACAAAGTGGTCAACGGGACTCGCATGGATCCATAAAACACTGAAGGCTCTGGGCTCGGTAACAGTGAAAATGAGCACCACATTACCCTCTCTGCTTCCTCTTCTTTCTCTTTCTGTAGCCTCAATGCTTCATTTTTGTTGAATTTGACGCTCTCCGTGTGCTGGTTCAGCCACTCAGTGGCAGTCGAGACGAGCGTGAAAATCATGACCATGCCAAGGTTTTCTTGGACCTGCAGGAAAACACAATCACTGCGTGGTGAACATTTTTGAAGTGTTGAGACATGCGAGGTACTGGCTCTTGAAAATGCTAGCTAAATTTTGCGTGATAAAAACTCAAAGCTTTTCAAGGTTTAGAATCTTTACCCGCATTCTGCTTCCGCGTAAAATGATGACATTAATACTGAGAAAAACTTGACACGCTGATATGTCACTGAAGCTTGCTTTGAAATGCTGGGCCTTGTGGCAGCAATATTGCTTCCTTGTCAGGATGTGGCAAAATTTGCAGGATAAATGTGAGGACACTCCTCTCCCCAAAGCAGTGGCTTTCATATTTGTTCTAGCTGTGCTTTCGAGTGGTAGCTGCAGCAATTTTGAACACGTAGCAGGCTTACTCTTATATGATGATATAGCTGGTATAAACCCATTGTACTTGTGTCCGTGCAGTTCTTCCCTAATCCTCTATGTGGTATGCAATAATGCAGAAATTAGCAACAAGCCCAGACAACCACCTTCCAAAGGTAAAAACCAGTTCTTGCAAACAGGCTTATAGGAACAAGTATCATAATAAGTGATCTGTGGGTCCCGATGTTTTTCAATATATAGTGAAATTGCAGTTCAACAATAACAACAAAAAAACACCGTAGAAATGTAAGTGCCTTAATAATAATGTTTGATTTGATATGTGGGGTTTAACGTCCCAAAACCACCATATAATTATGGGAGACGCCGTAGTGGAGAGCTCCGGAAATTTCGACCACCTGGGTTTTTTTTAACGAGCACCCAAATCTGAGCACATGGGCCTACAACATGTCCACCTCTATCGGAATTGCAGCCGCCGCAGCCGAGATTTGATCCCGCGACCTGTGGGTCAGCAGCTGAGTACCTTAGCTACAAGACCACCGCGGCAGGGTATAATAATAATGTTACCTCATATGTATTCTTTTATTCAACATCAGTGCAAGTTTATGAATTAGATAATTTATAAATATACAGTATCTCAGCAACAATATTTTATTTCATTAATGAGTAGAAAAACTGTGAACAGGAACGTTCAGAACTTTGAGCACAGAAGAGCAACTTTCGATTTCTACAGAAACTGTGCGAATAAGTCTGTAATAATAATTGTTGTGGTTTAATGTCCCAAAACCACGATATTATTATGAAAGTTTCCGTAGTGGAGGGCTCCGGCAATTTCGACCACCTGGGGTTCTTTAACATGTATCTAAGCACATGGGCGTCAGGCATTTTCGCCTGCATCGAAAATGCAGCTATCGTGGCCGGAATTTCATCCCACAACTTGCGGGTCAGCAGCCGAGTGCCTTAGCAACTAGATAAAAAACATATTAGTGTCAGTACTCTGACAAATCCAGTACAAGTGATCGGACCAAGCTTGACCATTAGTTTCCATCATATTATGTGGCCAGCAAGTTTTTGGTGCGGTGCAATATCTATGCAGGTGTTCTACCACTGCACTATAGTATGCTTTACTTGCCTGAAACATCTGTTTGCTAATGTAGACAAAAGCTGAATGTGACGACAGTGCCAAACTGCTACAGATTACAAGGATGCTTGCCACATCCATAAGTCAGAGACAAACAATCTGTTCTGAAGACAACATTCACAGAATAGGCTGTCCACGTTAGTTTCTTGAACTGAGATTGTCATGTCATTCGCTTACAAGTGCAACTGTTTGCAAATCATCTTTTAACGCATACTAAATAACTTGTCAAGTAGCTCTTTGAAGTATGTTGAGTGTAATATTGCTACTACAGTCAAATCTCGTTATACTGAAGTAGCAGCAGGACCATAAAATGGTTAGTTTAACAGCAGAGATCAAAATAGGCTCCAACAAACTGGCAATCCGGCTCTCGCATGAATCCTCGCAACAGACACACATCATTCTAGGCTCCTAACCGGCTATAATCGAGTTAATTTTTAAGTGTCTCAATATATACTGTTTCAAACTAGACAGGAACATCAGAATGCGAAGCTTCAACAGAACAAAGTTTATTCTGCAAAATCGGTCTGCATTGATATTTATTTGAAGAGGCATGTGATCGTGAAATTGATTTAAAAAAATATGCCTGCAATTTGCCTTTCACGAACTATTTAATTCTTTATAATACCTCCAGTGTTTAGTGTCTTTCACGAACTAAATCTCGCACCGTTACAGCCGATATCGCGGCCAATTTTGCGTTCTCGGTTTCGCTGTAAACCGAATAGATTTCATTATACGAAACGTTACCAACCAAAGTTCTCATTTTGTTCGCTAAAACCGTTCGCTATAACGAGGTCCAAGATGTATATTTTCGAAGAATACGATTGCCGTAAGGTTGTCAAACTCGGTTACGAGCTATACGTACGCTACTAGTGCCGCTAACCTAAACCACGCTTGTTAAGGTACGGGCAATAAGGTGTCTGTGTTCCATAATCTATTTGCAAGCGCGTACACACAGCCTATTTAGAATGAAATCGCAATTGGCGACACGTAATCACCTGTTCTTTAAGTGCCGTCACCAACGTCTCGACGTCCTCCTCTTCTATGTTCTCGAACTCGGCTGCCTCAATCAAGGGGCCTTCCTCCGGGTAGCGAGGTACGTACGTGAACTTGAGTTTCACAGACACTAGAACAGTCACGATGACATCAACTTGCGCTCGAAGCAAACGTCATCACATGCAAACGTCGCCTTACTTTGTTCGTCTTCGGGCTGATCACCGGCATCAGCTTTGACGTCGATCGTGAATACATGGTAGGGTTCTGTCTCCAAAACTAGGAGAAATGCAAAAAAAAAAACAACGAAATAGATAATACTGCAGTGTTACGCATCACGCAAGTCGTCGAAAAAAATTGCACATTCTCGCCCTACGTGTGTTTCGCTTTTCTGCGCTGATTCCTTCGTTAGTTAAGGATGTTGTGCATCTCGCGTCACGGAACAGGTTATATGAAAATCGAACACTAGTGCACCAGAGAGACGACTTACTTTCGAGTTCACTGGGATATATGGACTCTAACGCCTCTATTTCGTTCTTCTGTTCTTCTTGAAAGTCTGTCATCGTACTACCTGGTACTAAAGCGTTCCGTCAATCGCGGATGTTATTCCTCAGAGAAGACACATGGACGCCGCCATTTTAGAATGTATAGTGGCGCTAACAGCGGTAAAAATATTGTAAACTTGCTAGGAATACTTCCCGCTTTTACGTTAAAAATAAAATTTAAAAAACGTAATTATTTGTTAGCTGGTGAAATTTTTATTTAAAAAAAGGACAATTTCAAATTGTAATATTTGGCCTCCTAGTGGCCGAAAGCTGAAACAAGGCTCAATAATGGCGTTCGGTTGGTTCGGCTGCTAACTATTGAGAAAGTATGGGGGTGTGCTGTGTTTACATTACGAGCGTTGTTGTTTTATGAGCTCCGGGGCTTCTTGATAAACGCTGTGTCACCTGTGAAAGCCATTTCAGGAGTACCGCGACACCACCCGTACGCTGAAACCCTCACCGCCATCGAGTGAATCGGCGTGCTACGGCGACATCTCGAAACCTGTGCATTCGACTGCTCTCAACTGACGTCTAAACAATGTCTCGGCAAGCTGTACGCAGTACGGATCCGAAGAAAGTGGTAAGAGCTGCCTTTGTTTTATCTGCGCGCGATAAGGTTGTTTTGTCTTATGTGCACTCAACTGAGCTGTCCATGCTGATTTGAGTAAAGGGGGGAGTGACTATTCCCGAGTGCCTTTCTTGAAGATTTGCCCATTTTAATTGAATGCTTTCTCTCTTATTTCTTTGCCTTCAGAGCTCCGAGCTCTTCACACTCACCTATGGCTCTCTGGTGGCTCAGATGCTGAAAGATTACGAGAGTGACGAGGAAGTTAACAAGCAGTTGGACAGAATGTGAGTATGGGAACTCGTGTAGAAATGCGTCGTTTTAACACCGTGCAGCTTCCGATGACATGCGCATATGAAGCAGGCAGCGGGTGTTAGAGTACTGAAGTATGCTTACGGTCCCTGCCTTTGGTATTGTGTGCGAGAGATTGGTAAATTTAGATGCTGCAAACTAACATGACACAAGTTTACTTTCTACGTTAGCCATGGATCGCCGTTAAAGCTCCTTCGAGTGGATTTGTCATTGCTTAACGAACTTTTTTTCACGTTTTTCAGGGGCTACAACATAGGACTTCGGCTCATCGAAGACTTCTTGGCTCGAACAAACGTGGGCAGGTGCTATGACTTCCGGGACACTGCCGAAAAGGTTCAGGTGGGTCAGAGTCACGGTTAGACTTTACCGCCTGTAAGTGTGTTCTGTTTAATCTTTTTCAATAACGAATGTAGAGATGTTGTTGAACTTGCGTCTTGTGGGGTTCATTTACCTAATCATGTTGAAATAATCGATTCGCAACCATTCCTTGTGGTTTTCTGCAGAGACGTGTCGCACGAAGGCAAGCAACTTGGCCATTAGTAAACACCAACGTGCTGCAAAATCTAATGCACAGTCTTTCTCTTTCAAGCATTGACGGCTTGGTCACATCAGCTCTTCTAATTCATTCTATAGAATCTGAGAGCACATTCACTCTGGGTACAATAGGCGAAGTTTTCTGTGCACTGACTGACCCACTTACAATGTTTATAATTTTGCCTAACCATTTGGGTTTGTATGCATGATGGCTGGTGGTCACAAAAGTGTATGTATTATAAAAAAATGTGTATGGTCCTTTCGTTTTATGTTCTTGTAACGTTTTTGGCATGCTTTTTCAATTCAGTTATGTGCAATCGCTCACTGTGGCGTAAGGGAAAAGAAAAACTGACAACCACCCAGTTTTGGCAAGAAGCCACTAGGACGGATTTTCTTGTGGCTTCGATATGTTACAGAACTCAGATCATTACGATTGCACATGCCCACAATTCAAGCAAATGAATTAATGTGCTATTTACAACTTCACTCTGACATTGGAGACTCTCATTGCTATTGAGATGAGTTGTCTGGTAGCACTCTAGGGTACTCGGCTGCTGACCCGAAGGTCGCGGGATCAAATCCCGGCTGTGGCGGCTGCATTTCCGATGGAGGCGGAAATGTTGTAGGCCCGTGTGCTCAGATTTGGATGCACGTTAAAGAACCCCAGGTGGTCAAAATTTCCGGAGCCCTCCACTACGGCGTCTCTCATAATCATATGGTGGTTTTGGGACGTTAAACCCCACAATTCAATCAATGGTACCACTCTAGACTTATGCCCCTCCTCAGATATTATTTGTTTTTTTTTTCTTTAATTGGTAAGCCTTCTTTTTCTGTGAGAAATTTGTACAGATATTTTTGCATTTTTATGCAATAGGTGCTTGAGGAATTACTTTTTTAAAATTTTTAAATACCTTGTGGGTTTTTGTAAAACTCGTTTATCATGATCTGGGTTGTAAATATATTTCGCAAAAGTCACATGAACATTGTAGTATGTAAGAACTTCTAGCAAAAGGTAAAGACACCATTTTGTAACAGCACTGCATTGCCAGTACTTCCCTTTAATCACTGAAATGATGCAACCATCTAATAAAGCTGTTTGTGCTCTTTTTCACAGATGGCCTTCAAGATGTACCTAGGCATAAGTCCATCCATCACAAACTGGAGCGCCGCAGGAGACGAGTTCTCACTGATTCTTGAGAGTAATCCGCTCACGGAGTTCGTAGAGTTGCCCGAGAGTCACGTCAACCTGAAGTATAGCAACATCATCCCTGGGGTGATTCGAGGAGCACTTGAAATGGTAAGTTGCAGTTTCTGCTGACTGAACCAATAAGTGAAAGGAACAATCAGAATGGTGAGTTGTTGTCGCTGTTCGTGTTGTAAATACAGTTCCCCTTTAGGAAAAGTGCTGATGCAACAGACCCTAGGGTATAAACGACACCAGTTTTTCCTACATCAAAAGAGGGGTTGATATGAAAATGGGAACACGATATGCTACGCATAAGAGACATAGGAGTATTAGAAATGAAATCTGCACCCTATTGCATGTCTTTCGTGAAAGGAGTGGGACTGTATGACAGATTTCTAATCTTTCATTTGGGTCAATTTCTGTGGATGTATGTGTGTTTTCTATTACATAGCGCAGAGGCTTCAACTTGGCACTGCTATTTCGATAAGCGAATCGGAACATGATACGCTGCTTATAAGAGACATCTGGTATAAGGAATGAAAACTGTGCCCCAGCGAGTGTCTTTCATAAAGAAGCATGACTGTAGAACAGATTTTTCATTCAGGTCAAACTTTGTGGAAGTATGAGTTTTTTGTTTTATGTGGTACAAATGTTTTACCTCCGCTTTGCTATTAAAGTTATCCTGATGATGCCACTATTGTTTTCCCGTGCAGGTATAGATACGTTGGGGGAAAGTTGTAATTGTTTCTTCTATAACATTACATCATGGTCATGTCAAACAAACTTAAAATCAACCCTAAGAAAATGAAGGTAACTATAATCAGAGCTAGAAATAAGGTTTTAAATGTTAAACAAGATATATATAATCTGTATAGACAAAAAAAAATATTGTTGAAGAACATAAGGTTATCGGTGTGATGTTTTTATCTCATTTAAGTTGGGATTCTCACGTAGGTAATTTGTGCTGCATACAACTCAATGCACCATTAACAAAATATTGCTTTTGCAAAAGAAAGCTATTCGTCACACTGCCAACCCTGGCTACCTATCTTTGACTTTGACACATTTTCGCAAGCACAGTATAATTAAAATTCAATGTATGTATGAGTTTCACACTCTGCGATCATTTTATTTGTGTTCTTCTACATTTAAACAATTTATTCAGTCAACTGCTCTTCTGCAGTACGACAATCATGTTATTAATGCTCATAATATAGCATACTGGCTTATACCACATTTTTGAACTCATCTTGTACAGTCCCTGAAATATAACATCCCACGTATTCTAAATAAGCATAAACTTCTATTTAAACCTGCACTTAGTACTTTATATGAAATATTTTTTGAATTACTAATGTTATACATTTCAATTACTTCACAAACCTGTACCTTATTTCTTTCTGTATATAGCTGTGTATGACAAATCACCAATTTTTGGTCTTTTATTATATTGTGATGATGCTATTGTTTTGGGTAGTTTACGGTCGAAATTGTGGGTGTCGTTTATTCTATCAGTTCATTTTTCTCAATCGTAGCATTGCCATTTCTTTTCAATAAATAGGAAGCTTTTGAGTATTCGGTCAGTATTTTTTGATGTTCAACAGTGTTTTATGAGAAAAGAAAAAAAAATGTTTTCCTATCATGCTTTCTATGGGTATTTTAATATGTTTGCTTATGTAAGCATTTTTTTGGCACTTTATGTGTTGAAAATATTTCCCAGCTGTCATTTGTTTGCCATGTAATTGGTCTCTTGTGCCCCAGTGAAGCCATTCGATTACAGCTTTTAGCCCAGGGGACCATCCAGAATTTAATATTTCTTTAATTCTGGAAAATAAAGATAATGAATAAAAAAAAAACTAGATGTGCTGTTGTATTGTGGGCATTTTTTAGAGCTTTATTATAAAAACATCAACCTTGTTCTGCAATGTAAAGTGGGGCTCTGGTTCTAGTTTGTCTTCTTGTGTGCAAGTGTGCAATCCTTGTCATCTGTGCTTCAGGTTCAGACAGAAGTGGTTGCCTGTTTTGTCCATGACCAACTGAAAGGTGACTCTACTTCTGAGCTGCGAGTGAAGTTTGTGAGACGGCTGGAAGATGCCATTCCTGCGGGCGAGGACTGAATAGAAAAAGAGACACTGCCCTTTTGTTTCCGTAATGGTGCATCATTGCCTCAACTGTTTATAATAAAGCAGCCACACATTCCTTGAGATAAGTCTCTTTTATTTTCTTTTATTTAGAGAAGATCCAGAAAGGTTGACCTTGTGTCAGCTCTTGTCACATTTTTCTGCTATTGTGACAGCATCGTTGTCAGCAATCAGGGATAACTAAAGACCGGATTGTAGGCAAATGCCTATTTTGGTTCTTGCGTTCTCATAGTGCCACTTTCATATATGAGCATGAATTAGAGGTCAAGATTTGTATAGTGTTTTTATAGCATATAAATGCCCATTTTGGATGTTTGTGTTTCAATTCCTATAAGTGCCTATTTTCGAAATGTAAGCATTTATGAATCCTATTAAATGCCAAACTTTGATTTTGAGCACTGTTGGAGACCGGTATTCATGTTACCGAGCAAAATTGAGCTTTCCGAACTTTATGGGGCGCAACCTATACTCCATCTCGGTAGTTTCTTTCAGCACTGCCAGCGCTACAAGGTTTCTTAGCCAATAGAAAAGCAGGTTAGCCTTTACACATATATTCATATGCACCGCGTCGTCTGCTCGGCATCTCCTCAGCGTCAGCTCGCATGCGTAAGGAACAGCAGATGCTTCTGTGCAGCCGCAGGACGATGGAAAACAAATTAGAAACTGTGGAGTGTCATCAGGAGAAAGTAGAGTGTAGAACAAAAAAAATATGTTGACGGAGAAATTTTGGTTAGACACTGGAAGTTGTTGCGTGCTACATCTTCGTACCACAAACATTTTTTAATTGGTTCATTACGAGCTGCGACAGCATGATGCCAGGAGGTGAGCTTTAAACCTTTGACACTCGCCCAGTGTAGACTTCACAAGTCAAATCCCTTTCCTGCCCTCTTCAGTATCGGAGCAACTCGGGGGCAGGAAGATCACACGACACAGACGCATCAACACGTCATGTGCATGCCAGCGGTGTTGTGCCGTTTGGGCGTTCTCTGTATTGTACACACTGCCGTTTCTGCGGCATATGGATCCCTCTACGCATGCACGCCTGGAGAAGGTGGCATGGATCATGTATCCTTACCACGATATACTGCATCACACTGATAGAACTGCTCTAAGGAACGATGCACCAAAAACATGCCAAGCATTGTTATGACTGGCACTGCGACACAATGCGAGACTGGCGAGAACATCGTCGCAAATGAAATGCAGGCAGCTTAGTCTCACATCTCGCTCTATATGAAGTTAACAAAAATAATAATAATGCACACAGATTCTGTTTGTATATTCTAATACTTCTGTCAACGGTTCATACTTTTATTCAAGCAACATATTGCAGAAGTTACACAAGAAGCCTTGAATAATTCTCGCAGTGTCACGTGCTACTTCGGCATACGCAGGACCATTCCTTGTTGTATACATCATCTCTATGTTGGGACGTGCGCCCTTTAGATGAAGAGCAAACGGCGTTCAGTCTGGCATTTCACCTTTTTACGGCACGCTTGCGGGATAGATGGTACCAATGCGCTTTTTCCTCAGGATACTTCCAGACCCACTTTACGAAGGTAGCATGACGTCTTTGTGGCAGCCTTCTGAAGGCGGGCGTGGAGTGGAAGCCTTCTCACGCTTGGCGTTCAAATGCAGATGTCGGCAGCGTAAATAGAGAGGTCTACTGTGCTTTATAAGTGTTTCACTGGTCCAGTGATTAGACTAAAAGCGTACAGCTTAGCACTCCTCCTTGAGGGACTCCTCAGCTACTCTAATACTCGGGTGATTCCACGTAAGATCGAACAAAGCATGGCTGGTCGACCTCTTAAATTTCTTTCAAAATTTTATGTATTGTTGCCTGATCAGTGGAAAGAATTGGTTTTGTGGTAAAAAATTTTTTCGAAGCACAGTAAATCAATAAAGATACAGAGGTGGAGTGCCAGGCTTACCTGCTCTGCTGCTTTTTTCAATTTGTCGATGAATTAAACGAGATATATTGAAGCTACATGCCTCGAATTTGTTTGGCTACATATAGACGTACAGGTGCTTACGTTCATTTATATTTCGATTGTCTGCGTAGTGCGTAGTGATAGTCTGCTCAGCCCCTGGCCCCGATGGCATCACCAACAAGCTCCTGCGCAACCTGGACGATTCTTCCGTCACTTACCTCACTGACACTATCAACGAGATATGGAAAAAGGGTGAGATACCCGATGCTTGGAAACTAGCTCACACAGTTCTCATACCCAAACCGGGAAAGGCGCCGAGCCTAGATAACCTGCGCCCCATATCTCTCACGTCGTGCGTGGGCAAAGTGGCTGAGCACGTCGTCCTCAACAGGGTTGGTCGATACCTCGAAGATAACGACTACATCCCGCACCACATGATTGGCTTCCGACCAGGGTTATCCACTCAAGACTCCATGTTACTCCTAAAGCATCAAATTCTAGATGGCGGAAACACTCGGGACACTCGTGCAATACTCGGTCTCGATTTAGAAAAGGCCTTCGATACCATAACGCACTTGTCAATCTTGAAAGCGATCGCAGCCCTCGGCCTAGGTCGTCGATTTTACTACTTTATCCGCTCTTTTCTCACTCGGCGCAGAGCCGTCCTCCGCGTAGGAGACCTAGTGTCGGAAGAAGTGGAGCTCGGACAGCGGGGCACTCCTCAGGGATCCGTCCTCTCACCCACGCTCTTCAACCTCGTGATGATTGGGCTTTCCGAACGACTTTCAAAAATACACGGGCTAAACCACACTATCTATGCGGATGATGTAACCATATGGTGCTCCACAGGGCTGGATGGCTTCATTGAGTCCGCCCTGCAAGAGGCTATCGACACCACCGAGTCTTACCTCGACCACACCGGTCTCAGGTGCTCACCTGCGAAGTCGGAGCTGTTGATATATTTGCCCAAACGCCGGGGTGCCAAGCCCAAAGGGTGGATACCTCCGGCGGAACGCAGTATCACCCTCCACACCAGAAATGGTCGTACTATACCCAGGCTAGACACCATCAAGGTCCTCGGCATGATCATCGAGTCCCGCGGAACCAACACCCAAACAGTACACAAGCTCAGGACTAAGACTGAGAATGCCATACGACTCGTACGTAGAGTAGCCAACAGGCACCATGGCCTCAAAGAAGACAACCTGCTGCGTCTCGTACACGCGTTTGTTTTGTGCCATTTTACGTACATTGCCGCTATACACAAGTGGCTACGTGCTGAGCGCGATCAACTCAATGCGCTTATTCGCAAGGTGGTCAAACGAGCCCTTGGCCTCCCTATCACCACTCCAACGTACAAACTCCTCGAGCTTGGCGTACATAACACGCTAGAAGAGATCGCCGAAGCTCAGGAACGTGTGCAATTGACCCGACTCACTACAACCAAGGCGGGCCGCCATATTCTGCGCGAGCTCGGCTTCTTCTCCTCGAGGGCCAGGGACCCCCCAGAGTTGACTCTAATTCCCCGTGAAATCCGCGACCTTATTACGATCACTCCCATACCACGAAATGTACACTCCGAATATAACAGAGGCAGGCGCCTTGCGCGGGCGACCGCCATTCTCAAGCGCATAGACATGGAAGCGGACAACGTCTCGTTCGTGGACGCCACTGCCTATCGCAACAACCAAGCCTTCGCCGCGGTCGCGGTATCATCCGCGCAGCAGACTCTTAACTCAGCCACAATCCTCACCCGAAACCCCGAAGTAGCGGAGCAAGTAGCTATAGCTATAGCTATGCTCGACAGCAAACGGGAATTCATCTACAGCGACTCCAGGCCGGCCATCAAAGCCTTCGAACGCGGAGTCATCTCCGACCAGGCGTTACGTATCCTGCGCAATGCGGACCCGAGTGCCCTGAAGCACCACACTGTCATCTGGTTCCCCGCCCATCTCGGCCAGGTGCCGGGTGCCCTATCCAACCTCAACGAGATCGCCCATGATGCAGCGCGCGCACTTAACGACCGCACTGCCACAGGGCAACCTCATCTTGCTGGGTTGGATACCAATCGGGATGCACCAATTACGTACAATGAAATTACAAAGCACTTTTACTTGGAACGCCGCATTTTTCCACCCCCACATCCGAAACTTAACCGACCGCAGGCATTAACCCTACGCCTATTACAGACACACACGTATCCAAACCTTGCCATGCTTCACGTTTATTATCCCGATGCATACCCCAGCGACACATGCCCATCATGTGGACACACAGCGACACTCGAACACATGCTCTGGGAGTGTAGAACAACTCCTCCCGACTCTACCTCAAGCAAGTGGGAGAGGTCCCTCAGGAGCTCACTTCTCGCCGACCAGCGATGGGCCGTCCAGCAGGCCCACGAAGCGGCCGCCAGGTACTCCCTGTCGGTCCCTACGTGGGAGACGCCCGCTACGCGCTAAGCGCGTCCTGCAGGACCAAAATAAAGTTTTTCATTCCATTCTGCGTGGTGTAGATTTCTTTATAAAAATTCTCAAACTCTACCTAAAACACGTTTTCCTGCCTAGATTTCAGGCTTTTATTTCACAAAAGCGCCTACGGGAGAGCGGCAAAATTGCACATCGCTTTTTCAACACGCTTACTTATAAAACTGCCAGGGCTTATAATAATATCACTTTTCAATAAAAAGATATAATCATGCTAACTTCAAGAAAAGAGCATGCATGGAAAACTTCTGATGATGTTAAAAAAAACATGTTTTGATATTTTTTATACTTTCCGCACTTATTCTACTACATCTGGATGTACGTATGTGTAAATCATGCTTAATCGCAATGCATCAGGAACACTGGAAGCAGTTGCGTCCTTTCGTTGGTCTGCTGCTCGCTAGGAAATACAGCAGTCATAGTGTGTAGGCCATCGCATTAAGCGAAAAGTGTGGGCACTCAAAATATTACAAGTTGAAGCAGCAGGCCAGCTTTGTGTACTTATTCGAGTGTCATGACACACATTCCTTAAGGTGTGTATAAGTAGCAAGTGCATGCGATTGCTGGTTTCGTGCGCAATCTACTGCTTTCTAAGACAACATTTATTTTCCATTAATGAAGCTAGTGAGATTATAGTAAATGCCGTTGTTGCTAGACGGAGCGGCATCTTAGTGTATTTGACTGTGTGACGACCAGGGCACCTCTATATTACAAGATGCTTCGCGTTTGGCTGCACCTGTTGATAACAGTAGACACACATGGACACGCAAGAAATGAGTGATCTTCAGATTTCCAAATGATGCGGTGTGTCAAAACCATCGGGGACATGGCATGGTCTCCTCTAATGTGTTGGGTAGGAAGGTACACATTCTTTTTTTATAACTTAATCTGCAAGCAGCACCGTAGCTTATATATCTCAGTTGAACATGACAATGAAGAGCCTTGAAAGCATTCGAAGTCCGTACTAAGGCTTGGCTCACCACAGATATAAGACAAAACGTCAAGCATGTTCGCTAAAACTGCCTTCGCACAATCTCTGCAAATATTCGACAAAGCAGGGTCATGTTTCCAACAAACAAACATTTATGACACAAAATGTTGGGTGCAAAGAAAAAAACAATGTCAAAACATTGCAGATAGCAAAAGTGTGCTTTGCGCGTATGTTTATCTTCCGTCTCGTATTTTGCACTGTACGAGTCAATTCAAAATGAAACCAAAACGTTGATTCTACGAAGCTTAATGTGAAGGAAACAGATTAGCATTGAACTGTTTCTAACAGGTGAAAATTACTAAAACAAAAATAATAAACAGACCTTCCCTGCTTCATTTTTCTGTGTTAGGTGGGTAAAAGTACTGGCGCTCACCTTCATAGCCTTTAACGTAATTATAAAGTGTCATCCTTGACCGAATGAGAGAAGACTTGCGAAGTTGGAGGTATAGTTTCGAATGAACTACAGAATAATAATACAGAGCTACTCTCCTATGTATCAGCTCCCCTTCTATCATATCTTTGTAGTTGAGAGTTCCACCATATTTAACAAATCAGGGTATCTGCACATGAGTTAGAACTAATTCTTCTCTCTTCTCCGTCATTGCCGTTCCAGAAAATGTTTATATTTGTGCAGCAATTGTAAACACACCTGTTGGTAGTCAGCGCTGTTCCTGTTTGGTCTTTTTTCTGTCCACCGTATTGCACCGTTTTCTACTATAATTATGCTCCAATAAGCTCATGTTCATATACTGTTAAAGAGGCCCTCAATTCCTATTCTTTTTATCTTCATGAAACCAGCTGAACATAAAGAAACCTATTAATACAGGTCTTTATGACCTTCGACGATTCAGTATACGTAAGGTATCATCTTATACTTGACGATGGAACAGTACTGCTTCCATTTCTGACCGTACTTCTTGGTGCACAGGTCTTCAAAGCGGTACGCCTCGAAAGCCAAAATGCAAGCGTGCAAAATTGCGCTCATGTAGGGCACCACGCTTTTCCCTCCTGCTGGTAGCGCCCAGCATAGGTGAATGAGGATCTCGAGTACGTAGTCGGGCCTGCGGCAAATCGACCAGAATCCCAACAGTGGCAGCAGGTCTGTTGTTTCGTGTTCAGCACTGTCCCGGTACGATGCCCTAATCACTTTCGCCGGAGATTGCCACGGGATGCAGTCGCCCTGAGTGTCCTTGACCAACTGCCTCTGGCGGTCGCACCAGGTGTGCAAGATGCTGAGAACCAGTCCTAAGGACGTTACTAGAATTGCCACCACTGGACTCATGTCGGGGCAGTGTTCCACCATGTAGAAGTTCGGAATGGCGTATATCGGGCCCATGAAGGCCATGTAACCGAAGGATAGGTAGAATCCTGTGTAGACAAAATAATAATTCAAAAAATCACAAAAGCCATGTAAGGGTCATGTGAAAACGGTATTGCAATAACTGGAACTCGCGCTTTTGCTTAAGAAAGTTCTGATGTTCTTATATCTGGTAATGCATTGAAATAAAGAAATTCGCTGGTATGAAATATCATTTCTTCTAAGGCAGTGTAAATTAGCGATCATTGCCTTGGCCATGTACTAGAATAACATAAGCTAATGGTAGTGTGGTGTTTTTGTTGTTGGTGGTGATGATGACGACTATGACGATGATGACCACATGAAGAAAGAGATTTTGATCGGAGCTGACTTTGCCGCCTCAGGTTCCACGTTTTAGCCTGGCTGCCTTGGCATGCGCTGTAGTTTGAGTATTTCCTGGGAAAATAGTCAGTGCTTTATACTGACGCCACTGAAACCCGATGCCCGCGACATGCGCTAGCATTCCGAAGACGCCGGAGTACTATGCTTCGTTGACAACTTTGTACCAAACAGCTCGATTGGAAACTCTGCTCAAGTGTACTGAGATTCATATCAGTGTTTTAATAGCAAAACATCCCTCTTCTCACATTATTATTTGCTGCCTATAATACCTTTATGCTTTATGCCACTGTCTTTCTTGCTCCTGAGAAACTATGAACGACTTAACAGCCAAATCTCTTCCATGTGTGCTTAAGATACGGAACAAAGGCAAGAAATCCGGATGCCCTAGCTCCCCCTTCCGTTTTTTAGTATGCTGGCCTATGGTAAATGCTGTGACGAACTCATGATGCAACAAACTCTTTCTCACAGTGTGAACATTAAGGAAATGAGCACAGACGTGGTACGTTGCCCTAATTGAGAAAGTCGTCGTTATCATCCGTAATGGAGAGCCTCTAAACAACCTCTGAAAAACAAAGAATAAGCGTGCTCTTCTCTCCTGGCGTTTCCAGTCTTTTCGCTACAATTCGTGATGCTAGCAGTCTGTTCACATGACGTCGTTAAAAAATAAGCTCTGGATTGGTTCATATACGAGCGATATCAGTTGTGCATCATTGTCGCCTTTATACTGCTTCGCCATGAAGTCTCACGTCCGTTCTGCCTTGCATCCCGTGACCATCGATGCATGGTCAGTTAAATTTACTTCGTTTTGTACTTCTTTCGACTCTGCAAACGTGCAGTCAGAAAGCCAAGCGTGTAGCCAAAAAGCACGAAATATTGATAGGCTCAATGTTTGGTTCTGACGCTGTCCGCGTACGTGTTTCATGATGAAATAAGGGGCGATGAGAAAAGAGCGCTAGTAGGGAGCGTTTAGAAACCTTTTTTCTTCAGAAGCCAGTAGAACTGATCGATATGCTCCACTCTGTTATAGATTTCCCTTTCTTGCCATGGTTTTATATACGTGAATTCGTGAATCCCCCCACAGCATTGCCACTCACCTGACCTGTCCACAACGACGCCCGTAAACTGCACGTAACGATCCTCGCGCCAAAAGAACTTAGCCGCGTGCGCAGTCTGCAGGAAAGACGTGGCCGCCATCGCCCAGCTCCAACCAGCGATCTCCACGCGGGCCTTCCAGCAGATGAGCACGAGCAGTTGCCATAGCATCATTCCGAATCGGCTGTTCGTCCACAGCTTGATGTCGAACCTCTTGCCGATGCGAGGGTATAGCTCGAGTCCCCAGAAGAAGTCGAACACGACATTTCCGGAAGAACCGTGTTCCCCGGGAGAAGGACTGGTCAGTCCCTTGATGTACAGGAGCGTCGAAATGGCGAAGCCCACGATGGCGAGGACCGCGACCAGGGACGGTATGCTCCTGTAAATCGCGTATCCCGGAAAGTCATTCTCTAGAAGAAGGTAGCCAGTGATCAACAACGACAGGACGTAGTAAGTGAATCCGGAGTTTCGGTAGACGGGCCTGTATCCCGAGGACGTCGGTGGGCCGCGGTACGCCTTGCCGTCGAGCAGCAGAATCGAGAGGGCGCTGTAGAGGATGAAGGCGACCGCGAACGTCCAGGCCTCCAATGTGCCGAAGCCGTAGCACGTGCAGGCATTGTAAACGAATCGATCGAATCCCCATTTGAAGGCGAGGGTGGAAGACGACTTGAGCGTGATGGCAAGGGAGACGGCGCACATGAGCGTACAGGGCATGCCCAAAATCATAAAGAGTGGTGCAACCGTGGACCACAAGAAACTTGGCGGCTGTGCTTTAGTCACCGGGCTGGCACCTACGGGAAAAGAGGCGTAAATTGTCACTGAACAGTGCTATATGTAGTTGGGTTACAATTCATTCTGTTGTTACGTAGTAGAATTAGATTCATTCTGTTATGCACAATATTAATAAGACCTAACAGACAATCATGCCAAGGAAAGTATTGAGGATGTTATTAGACGTAATTATAATGTAAATGTGAAGAAAGAAAAGAAAACTTGCCATGAACAGGGACCGAACCTGCGACCATCGAAATGCGCCCGATGTGTAGCATCGAACGCTTTATTCGAAGGTTGCCGCATCGAGTGCGTTATTTGAAGGTCACATGTTAATTCCCTGCCAATGGCAAGTTATTTTTTCGTCCACTTTTCTTTCTTTGCATTTAAATTACAATTACTTCTAATGATGAAATGATATGTAAGGTTTAACGTCCCAAAACCACCATATGATTATGAGAGACGCCGTAGTGGAGGACTCTGGAAATTTCGACCACCTGGGGTTTTTTAACGTGCATTTATATCTGACCACAAAGGCCTTCAGCATTTTCGTCCCTTTCGAAAATGCAACCACCACAGTCGGGATTTGATTTCCCGACCTGCAGGTCAGCAGCAGAGTACCTTAGCCACTAGACCACCGCGGCTGGGCAACACAATTACTTTTAATAACGTCCCCAATACTTTCCATGACACGATTGTCTATTAGATCTTATTAACATTGTGTATAACAAAAAAAAAACGAGCCCTTAAATGTGCTCTTCTTCATTCTGTTGGTGGCATTGTCTAGAGTTTGTGAGACAGGAGTTTTAAATTATTTTCTCTAAAGGAGGCACAATAGTAAGGCTTGCGCAGGTTCATTACCGCTTGTACTCATTGATTTACTTATGTACAAGTTCGCATTGTATTCTTAGTAGAACTTCTTGTGTTTTTTGGAACTGAATCAAATGCAAATCGAACAGTGCCAACAACAAATCGACTTAAATGCTGATAATTTTCTACACGATTTTCACGTAGTAATCACACTGACATCAAATTAAACATCAACTTTTCGTTATATTAGTGCCAATGACGAATACGTTTTAATAATAGCATGAAGGGACCATTGGGAAGAATGAACTAAGCATTTAAGAAATAGCTTTTCAGAACATTCGCTGTCATTTATTACTATATATAATGTTTAGAAAGGTAGCTCTGTTGCCTAATGATATGTATCACTGCATCTATCACAGTCATCACCCGGTGCCTCGAGTAGCATGTCAGGTGAAAAGAGAGCCAAACTTCTCCAGCTCTCCATTAAAATAGTTCTCCCCCTTCTCGCTCGTGACAAGGCAGGGAAAGCTCTCTTGTGCTTTTTGAGGATGACGGGGCTTGTGTGGACGCCTCTGACTTGCAGGGCAGTTTCACATGGTGCAGTGAATTCGCTGCCTCTCTCTCTTCCCCTCTGTTCCCTCCTCTCTCTTTCTCATCTTTTTATTCTCTTTCTCTAATCCTTCATTGTAGGAAGGCCAACCAGAAGTCTTTCTAGTTATCCCCCCCCTCCTCTCTTCTCCCTTTCTGTCTGCTCCTTTGCGACCAAATCACTGGTTTTGACAAGACTATTTGTTTGTCTACTTGGTACTTGCTCAATGGTATGTTTAGCCACAGAATAGCACATACACAGAGCTAAGAAACACTCCGCCTGACCTGTGGATCTGTGTTCCTTTTCTCGGTGTATGTGCTCTTCTTTCGAGGCTAAATATATTTTTCAATAAATCACTGGTGCTGGACGTCTGCAGGGATGACATAGAAAAAAAAAGCGAAAATTTTTTAGTTTGAATGGTCGCATAGCAGACTGCATCCGGTAAGTGTATTCTGTCACTTGAAGGTATTCACTTTTTTGCATTTTTGAAGTCGCAGGTACAGTATTTATAAGAGAAACAAACTATAACGATCACCGCATGCCGTTTCTGGATAAAATTTCGTTGCGAGTGATCGGGTTTAGATATGAAAGTCACGCTGCCGGAGTGATGGAGAGCGCTCTATATAGTATAAAATGGTAGCTGCATGCGAGATAACGGAGATTTCATTTTCTATTGGTTTATTGATTGCTTTGACGTCCCAAAACCATCATGTGATTATGAGAGACCCCGAATGGAGAGCTCCGGAAATTTCGACCACCTGGGGTTCTCCCAAATCTGAGCACACGGGCCTACAACATTTCCGCCTCTATCGGAAATGCAGCCGCCGCAGCCCAGATTCGATCCTGCCACCTGCGAGTCAGCAGCCGAGTACCTTTGCCACTAGACCACCGAGGTGGGGCCCAATTTTGCTTTCATAGCTTGTTTCATCGTATGCTGTCAACAGCGCATCGTGCATTCGAAACATATTTTAAGAATACTCGCATGTGGACTACTCAATTCGATAAAATACCTATAAACAATTAGGACAACATTCGAAACGCCATTGAAATGTTTGGAATGCTCACGCACCCCTGTTTCGTTTGTTCCCATCTCCGGCTCCTTCTAGAGCGAGCAATTCCTAAGAAAAGCAGATATTTAAATATGTTTGCGTCCCAAGAGCTCTTATGGATCGAGAACCGCCGGCGGGCTCAGATGTTTACGAAAAGCGGGACCTGATAAAAAGGCTGTATATTTCGTGGAAAGTTTTATCACGCAGCTTTTATGCATTGATTTCTGTCACTTGTTCCATGCAACTAACGTATCGTTATGCAGTTTTTGGCGGATGAAACCTATAGATACAGTACTAATATATATATATATATATATATGCTAATATTGTCAACCCTCATGGTGGGTCATAACAGAGACGGACATACATAAAGAATGTACAATGTTCATAAAGTTTGTTAATACGTTTACAACTCACAATGAAAATCGGTATTTTCTTAATTAACAACTCAGCATTCAAATAAAAATTCAAAATTCAGTCATTTTTCAAAGTATTTGCTATGAACATGAAGTCGCTTACATCACTTGGCACTGAAAAAAAAATAATTTAGCAATCACGTAAATCCCCTTCTACAGCATTTCCGAAATCAGTGACAGCTTTCAAAACAACAATTTCGTTCGGCAATTTGTTCTACATTTCTATGAGATCTGGAAAAAAAGAACATCGAAATGTGTCAGTATTTGTACGGTATGGTTTTAAGATGCAATCGTGGTTAGTTTGCGGATTTCTTTTGTCTGGGGAATGTAAATATTTGAGCTTATCTATCTTCAATTGATCGTGCGTTATTTGAAACAATACTTTCAGCCTATATTTATTTCAGTGTAGTTCAAGAGGATCTAGGTTGCATCTCCGTAACATCAGTGTGACTGATTCGTTCCTTCGGTACGTTGAACAAATAGAGCGCGCCGCTAGTCTCTGTATTCTTTCTAGCTTCTTAAGAGTAACTTGGTGGAGACTCCAAACAATGGATGAATATTCTAGTACTGTCCTAATGAAGGTGGTATATGCAATATGTTTTATGTCGCGCAATGCATCCTACAACTTCTGCCTCAATAAATACAACTTTTGATAGGCTTTCGTGCAAACGTTATTTATATGCTCATTCAATGTTAATTTTTGCTTAATTGTAACACCAAGGTACTTGAATTGGGTCGTATTTACCAACAAGCGTTCACCAATGCTGTACACAAAGGAATGGATTGTTTTCTTTTTGCTGATGTGTGTAAATGTAGATTTAGAATAATTTATTGCCATTTTCCATTTTTTACACCAGTTATCTAAGTATTGCAAAGAGTTCTGAATTTTGATTTGGTCGTCTAGTTTAGTAATTACGGCATAGATTAAGCAGTCATCTGCGAAAAGTTTAACATGAACACCCTCCTCTGCCACACTACTCATATCATTGATGTACATGAGAAACAATAGTGGTCCCAACACAGAGCCTTGGGGCACTCCCGAAAGTACCGCCAAGGGTTGTGATAAGTGACCATCTAGTTTCACTACCTGCACACGATGTGTTAAATAAGCTTTAATCCATTTTATTACGAGTTCATTTATTCCTGCATGACATAATTTGACGATTAATTGTACATGGGATACTTTATCAAACGCTTTCGCGAAATCCACCCATATCACATCAACCTGTTGTCTTATATCTATGGCACTCGCAAAATCATGAATTGTTTCAATTAACTGGGTCATGGTTGTTAACCCAGTCCTGAAGCCATGTTGGTAAGGGCGCAGCAAGGTGTTCTGATCCAAAAATGCGAGTACGTGTTTTGCAATTATGTGTTCAAACATTTTGCAAGCAACGGAAGTGAGTGATACTGGGCGGTAATTTGTTGCCAGTTTGCGATTACCGCCTGTAAATACAGGAATGACGAATGCAGTGCATCAATCTCATGGCAGTGAGTGCGTTATATAAGATTTCTTAAATATAATAGTTAGATAATGTGACATTAATTCTGCGTATCGCTTGAGGAACACAGTTGGTATATCATCGCGACCACTAGACTTTTTCGTATCTAATAAGAGTAGCTGCTGAAATACCCCTATTCATATATATATATATATATATATATATATATATATATATATATATATATATATATATATATATATATATATATATATATATATATATATATATATATATATATATATATATATATATATATATATATATATATATATATATATAATTGTTTTTGTGATGGTTCGGCCCACTACTACAACATCACTATCTGTGGAACTAATAAATCTAATTTTACAAAGCGGCGTTGTGATTGAGCTATGTAATACTTAGCCTACAGAGATGCAGCGTAAAAGCAGGTGCAAGAATATCGAAAACTAGAAATACAGCAACCATTAGTGTGACAAGAGCATTTACGTAATAATAAGTTAATATCACAGATGCTGCAAGCTAATGGAGAACGAAGACCAAAGGTCGAAGACCAATGGTCGTGAGACATGCAAGGGAAACTTTTCCAACATATGGAGAACTAAAAAAAATATTGTGGACGGGCGCGAGTAGGAAGGCCCAACATTTTGAAAACGAAGAATACACAAGCAAGTCAAGTGATCGATGTGACTGACACTCAGATTTGTCCACATGTTTTTCTTTCACGACCGATAGACTTGACAGGTTAACACTTTTTCTTTCTTGTACTAAAGATCTGCTGCTATCCTTTTAGCTCATTATAAAAAAATATGCAGGAGCTCAACGTAGCTTTGTGGCATTTAATTTTTCACTACATATGCACAATTACCACCACAGTGCGATGCCACTTACCTTCGGGTCCCGCCATGTTGTCCAGTTCAAAAAGCTTTTCGAAAACACAGAATGCACTGTAGTGGGTGTTCGAGCAAACTTCTGGGACGTTCGTTGTTTTCGATCTATTTTCGTAAGGATACGCAGTTTGCGACCTAAGCTAAATATTTGGGAGAATGAAAAACAAACGTGAATACGAAGACAGGATTCATGAAGTCCGAACGGTTGTTCGTGCAACCGGCTGAATACCACGCTCGAAGCTATTATCGGAACAGCGTTGCGCACATTGTAAACGTTCCACCCTGGCGCCGTTTGACAGAAACTGACGCGAACGAGAGAAAGAACGCGACGAATGTTGCGACGGCGCGCCTACTAACGCAACAGCTGCGTTGTCTGATGCGCGGTGTATGAAGGCAGTGTACAGCTGCGTGGTTCCGAAGAAACGGAAATGATTAAAGTTTGTTGAGGCACAAAACGAAATGAAAAGTTTACAGGAATCCACAAACACAAACAAAAGAGGTGTCATTACGGGTCAAAGGTCCGTGGGGAGTTTGAATAAAGCACCAGGGCTGTGCAGATACTGAAACTGTTGCAGTTTCAATACTGGGGAATACATCATGTAGCCAATATATACAGTGATCAAGCAGAGCACGTTAATCCTGCCCATATGAACACAGAGCTGTTATACCGGAGTTTTTGTAAGTGTCGTAGCAAGAAAATTATCGTCGTCATGAACATGCACGCACTCTTCGTGTTCTCCATGTTTTATTATTATTATTATTATTATTATTATTATTATTATTATTATTATTATTATTATTATTATTATTATTATTATTATTGCGGGGTGCAAGGAGATGCTGGCAAATAGGGCTATTGATTTATATACGTGGGGTTTAACGTCCCAAAAACACCATATGATTATCAGAGACTCGGTAGTGGAGAACTCCGGAATTTCGACCTCGTGTGGTTCTTTAACGTGCACCCAAATCTGAGCACACGGGCCTACAACATTTCCGCCTCCATCGGAAATGCAGCCGCCGCAGCCGGGATTTGATCCCGCGACCTGCAGGTCAGCAGCCGAGTATACCTTAGTCACTAGACCACCGCGCGGTGGGGCGGCAAATAGGGCGTCGGCTACTTCTTATCCCTTAGAGGTATTTAGCATAGAGCTTGCAGGGTGCAAGACTCCAGGCGTAAGAAGTGCAGTTAGCATAACAGTTAAGACATGAGAATTCAAAACGACGTATTCGACAATCAGACATGATAATTCAAAACGACGTATTCGACAATCACACATATGCGAACATACGGTGGTGTTATACAAATGGAAGGGCAACCGTCACATATGATCAACACTCACATAACACTCATATTATGTTGACGTAACTGTCAACATAATAGTCAACATCCGCTTAAATATATGCTGTGACTTTAAAACAAGAAAAAAAAAACAAATCTTTTTCCTCATCTGCTTGGCTCCCGGAACATATGCGTCAATTTTTCGGCTGGCGTGGAATGCAATAACTTTTTATTTACAAGAAAACGAGTACAAAGAAAGAAAGGAAGGAGAACGGCTGGCGAAAAAAAAAAAAAATCTTGGCGAGGCGAGATTCAAACCCGCACATTCGCAACACGAAGACTAGTGTCGTAGCCATTTGGATATGTATTGGCACGCCAGCCGAGTATAGCGTAAAGTATAGCAAGGTGGTGGGAAAGTGATGTGAGGATGAGGAGGACTGATGCAAAGGTGGTAAGGAGGAAGAACGAGTACGCAGAGATAGAGAGAGAGGATGAATAAAAAGAGAAAAAATTTAAAGGCAAGAGAAGTACATAGTGTAAAAGAGAGAAAGACAGAGAAATCAACAGGCTGAAAGAGAAAAAAAAAAGACGCAAAAGGAAGGTAGAAAGAAAAAGAGAGCTAGCATATTCACGTATATACAGTACAGCAAGAAGGAAGGGGGGGAAGAGAAGTGAGAGGGTAAAAGCCAGGCCAATCCAGGGCATGCGAAGTGCCCACCAGATAGGCTGTGACCAGCGTTGGGCTACTTAGAGCCGGAGGAGCTTAATTTTGTTTAAAAAAAAAAAACGTTACGGTTCATTTCTAAATTTCAGCTACATGAGTCTCCAAGCTCTGGCACTTTGAAGGGCATGCAGGTGACCACACCGTTTAAATCAGGACTAATAATCTCATGGTCGTTTGCATCCAACTATGTAAGTAGAGTAAAAGTACTTATTAAGCACACACACTCATTATCTTTTGTGTTTAGAATGTCAGGATGGGGGAGGAGTGGGGGCAAGGAGGGTAGCGGGTGTGGGTGCCCCTGCTTTCACAATGTTTCAACCTCTTCCTCTCTCCTCCCCCGCCCACTCTCTGTATCACTTCAAAGGAAACAGTTGAAGGCGAGAACAAAAAAAAAACAAAGAAACAAAACAAACGAGGACAAATGTCCCTTTGTCTTTGCCTTTGTCTTAAGAAGTCGTGCTGGTACCCCTGAATCATGCGGGATTAAGTAGCAGTGTTTAACGTGGCTATATATAACGACTTCCTTCGGGGTAAACCCCCGTTACCTGCACCGCCTGAAGGACATCTGCTGAAATTACACGTCGCTACGGATGGGTGTGCAGGCGGACCAAGTGTTATCTTACTAGCAATGAGAAGGTGTATAGCAGGGATCGCGCGAGGTGAATATCTCGGTGCTTATAAGCGCATTGCGAATCCCGATTTACGCTGCCGCAAATCGAGGCCGAAGTCACAATCTCAGAATAGTATAACGGACCACTGCCTCACTGGTCGACCGCGTGTTGTTCGCACGACTGGGATGATCTCGCGCGTACTCTCAATAAAGCGCTCAATAGCTTCCCTTTGTCTTGTGAACACCATGTCTCGAGGCTGCACCAATGCGGGGCGTTAGTCGGCCCGGACGTAGAACCAATTCCCAAATCGCGGGACGTCCTTGTCGAACAAAGGGAGCAACGAAGAGAATGCGGCCTTCCACGTAAAGATTTGGATAGCCAACCAAGCAGGGACTGGAGGCGCATACAAACCAATAACTTTCTCAGTTAGTTTCATTTGTGTAATATATATATATACCAGACGATTTAGATAAACATGTCAGTGGTGTTCAGGCGCATTAACACTCAGCCATACGATATGAGAGTACACCGAGAGGCTCACACACATAGAGAGAGCCCACCAGGGTCACAGCCAGAGAGTGGCTCAGCGGGTCCGTGCCCCCCCACCCTCAAACATTTTTTCGCCGTTGCATTTAGAGCTGAAAATGACCATTCCAAGGGGGTGCCCCTCTCGAAATCAAGGAGGTCCCCTCCACTTGGAAAAAAAAAATTTTGGCTACGCGCCTGCAGCCCACGCATTACTAAGCAACCGCCCTTGTTTCACCGGCAATGGGAGGCATGGCTTGTGGACGACGACAAGCTAAGTAAAATAGCCTTGCTTGACCAGGCCCAGCGAGCCGCCCGTGACAGCGCTGCCCTGGACTGACGGCGCTAACATTACAGCCTGCATTTACTTTTTAGTGTTTTTTTAAAATAAAGCTTCTTTCTCCGCCACCAGTTTTTGTTTTCATTTCGCAGAAGAATAATTTGATTGAAGGAAATTATTCGATGACTCGCCGCACTCCGTACCTCACTATGGGAGAGGTGTAAGCAACTGTCCCTACGACAATGAGGTGGTGGGATGAAGGTAAATTAGAGCACTTGGTACTAGAACGATGGGAAACATAGCCGTCCCACGGGCCTCACACTGTGGATGTTCTGAAAAAATGGTTAACGATTTAGAGCACTAAGTACTCTACTATTATGGGAGAGCTTAAAGCCGTTCCGTAGGCCTGCATATCAAGGCCCTACTTCACCGTGCATGAATCAAGTGAAATGTGGATTGGGGGGGGGGGGGGGTTAGAAAAAGTGGGTAACGATTTAGAGTACAGGGTACTCTACTATGGGAGAGCTTGGAGCCGTTGTCAGATAGGAAGGAGACGCGGCGCCGAAACGCTTTGTCCCAGAGTCACACTTAACTCATCAACCCATCATCATCCTACGTCTGTCCCGGCTCCACCTCCCCCCAGGGTTGTGTGGGGGGAAGATTTGTTTCGGGCAGACGGCCATGCCCTGGCAAGGGGGCCACCGTTCGGCGCCAGGCGCCAAACAGACGCGGCCTGCCTCCCGGCATACAAGCCAGGGAGGCCCGACAAAGGGACTATCCTCCGGCGAAGCAACTTCAGTCGCAACGCGCAAAGTAAACGTACCCTGGCAGGGTGGGCTATCGCAGCGCGTAGGGTGCGCTGCGGTCATGGCCCGTCTCCTGACCGCTAGGGCCCAGCGGGACTTGACACAGGGGCTACCCTTCGGCACGGTAGCTCTCGCCACCACACGCAAAGCGGACGTACCCAAAAACGTGGCAGCGGTGCTGCCTTCGGTCGCGGTAACTTAAGTCACCACAACCAAAGTGCCCGTGCCCTCACACTGTCGCGCGGCTGAGAGCCTGCGACAACACCCCCTCAGGGCGGATGGGCTATCGCTCGGCGCGAGGCGCTTTGCGGTCATGGCCCGTCTCCTCACCACAAGGGCGCAGTGAGACACAATCCGTCCTGTGGGGTCTACGGGACTACTATTTGGTGCAGAGGCCAGTGCCGCTGCACGCAAACCAAACGTACCCACGGAAACCGGCACGGCTGAAAGCCGGCTTAGTCCTTCTCGAAGAAGGGAACCACCATCCGCCTCGACGAGTAAAGTAGCCGAGCCTACAGAAGGGGCCAACACGGACCTTGCGGGTAAAGCTTGGAGCCGTCCCGCGGGCATCATATAGATGAACACGACTTCATGGTTAATGAGCTTATTCTAAACACATCGGCACCGCCAAATACAAAACAAATGCGGCCTGCAAGGGTGCGCAAGCCGCTTGCTGACTTGTATGCGCGTTATTACAACCACTGATGCATTCTTAATTCTGTGCTTGCCGGAAACAAGATTTCTGTGATACAAAAAATTCGATCTTTTATTAAGGTTACCGAAATTTCTTGTCATTTAACGTTGCGACGCTTCATTGTGGCCTGAATACGAACATGTGGCTGAAGTTTTCTATTTTACCCCAGGTGGTCAAAATTTCCGGAGCCCTCCGCTACGGCGTCTCTCATAATCATATAGTGGTTTTGGGACGTTAAACCCCGCAAATCAATCAGTTTTCTATTTTATATGCTGTCGCTCTGTATCAGGACAAAACTAGGTGTGACAACATCAACATGCAGCGAACGGCGAAGGGGACTATATCACATCTTT